CGTTACTTCAATTATTCTTTCGTTGCTTCGGTTATTTTCTCGTTGCCTCGAATATTTTCTGGTTGCTTCGTGTTTCTTTCAGAACTTGAAATTTCGAGTATTTACTCGTTCCTAGGAGTATTTTCTCGTAGGAACTTTTGTAGCCTAAAATGTTTTTTTCACGTTTTCGTTGCTTCACTATTTTTTTCTTGTTGTTTCGATTAATTTTTCGTTTCTTCGAATATTTTCTTATTCCTTCAAGATTCTTTAAAAAACTTGAAATTTCAAGTATTTACTCGTTCCTACGAATATTATCTCGTAACTTCAGTAATTTTCTCGCTGCTTCGACTATTTTCTTGTTCCTTCAACTTTCTTTCAAAATCTCTAAATTTCGACTGTTTATTCAAAGCAATGAGCAAATATTTAAAATTTCAAGTTTTTGAAAGAAACTTGAAGTTACGAATAAATACTCAAAGCAACGAGAAAATAGTAAAGCAACGAGAAATTGAAAAAAATATTTTATGCTACAAAAGTGGCAGCATTAGGTTTTCGTACGTTGTAAATGGTATTGTGCATTCATAGCTTTCGGCCGTGGGAGCCATGCTGATTTCCACTTGTCAGAGGGGTACACAAAGTCCGTGATCTAGACTACCAGTTGTCCGGCTTCCATTTTTGTGGCAGCCGCAGCGGCTATGTGGATGACTGACTTTGTGAAACTTGGACTAAACCTCACAAAAGTACTAGAATCTGTACTTCACTGAGATAGTGTAATATCAAATATAACATTTGTTACTCCATGTGGCCTTTCATATTTATATCACTGTTATGTCTGTTTATGTGACTATTGTGACCCTTCGGACGCACTATTCATAGATTTTAGATGTGCATGTTCTGCGTAACACGTGTACCCGTCATTTAGGTTAAGTAAACTAATTTTACAGGTCAGTAACTTGGAAAATCAATTGATTTCATGTTGATCAACAAATATGGGACCTCCTCAACTGACAAATGCTCAAAGATGACAAGTTATTGGTATGCGGAATTCTTGGGTGTCATTGAGGGCTATTGCATGAGATGTTAGTCGTTCGGCCATCGACTGTCAGACGATTGGCCTGAAAACTTATAATTAATAAGGTTAAGGACCATCAGCGTTCAGGTCAACCAAGCCTGGGGAGGGTACAGACCTTCTCAGAATCACAAAACTTCATCTGTTCATGTCAGGAAGCGTGTTAAAGAGAGAGTCGTTTGTCTGAAAGAAAACTGTCCGAGATTGCCTAAAAATCAGCCGTGTTTATATACCCAGAGCACAAAGCAGCGCAACTAGCTTGATCTCCTGCATGTTTGGGATGTTATGAGTCGCAGAATATGGCAGAGATATCCTCCAGTATAAAGTCTTGATGTACTGAAACAAGTCATCCATCAACAATGGAACGCAATGCCTCACCCATGCCTTATACTGTCAACGAGGAGATATTGACACTGTACTCATATTGACACTTATATTATTTCTTGAGGACGGAATGCCAGACTATTGACAATGACCGCACTTGTTAACGTTGTAAGACCCTAGTTATCAGCACCACAAAATGAGCAACTACAGTTTTTGTATGACGGAAACCAGACTCAGGAAGACAATTAACTGTAGTTATCTTTACTTGTTGGATGATTTGTTTACAAACTTTAAGTGGTATTCTAGTATTCAAGCAAGTCTTTAGGAAAATAACCGTTGCTGTAATGCAGACTGCTTGAATACAGATATTTCATCGCTGAGTTATTGATGTGCTCATTTTAACATTGTTCAAAGTACATACAACGTTTCCAAATTTCCACACACAAAAAGTATAATTAATCTGACAGCTGTTTAAATAAGTTATGGATAAGTACTACTTTACAACCGACAAGTGTAACTTCACCTTGGGATTTATAAAAAGGCTAACAAAACTAATGTTTGTTAGCCTGGAGGGCAGTTACAATCATAACTGTTCTGTTTATCTGTATTTAATTACAACTTATTGTTGGAGAGTAACAGACGATCGAGAGCATGAATTCTATGACATAAATCGTTATTGTTAATATATGGTGCCATTTGCGATAGATTACACAGGTGACGTCGGTGAGGTAGCCTGCAATACAAACCGTGTACGTCGAGTACTATTGCTGCTCAATATGCTGAAACTGGGAGAAATGAAAATATTGTTTAAATTGAAATATTTTAGTTATTTTGTTAATCAAAAGGTATAAATATTGTTGAAGATGAGTGGCATATCTTGTATATTTGTGAATGTTTTTCTGATGCTCGAGATAGATATATTGTGAAATATTTCAGTCAACCTCATACGATAAACATCTTTATAAATAGTATGCAATCTGCCAATATTTATTGTGATTCAGAATGTCAGTTTATTTTCATAGTATGTACAAATTAGACTTAAGAGCAGAACATTTTTATAAATTCATGTGCACCATTTATGTGATGTGAGATCATGCATTTGGCTGTAATATGCAGTGCCTTTTACTGAATAAAACTGTCTGTCTGTCAATCTCTTGAATATGTAAGTGGCGTAATCTCTAGTATTCCTTTAGAGATTATACTTCGTTAACGATAGAAAATCAACAGAAAATCTTCTACATTTAAAAAACATTAACACACGTACAGTACATACCTGTGACAAAAGAATTACTAGATGTGCCAGAAGTTGGTTGTTTAACGCACTTTTCCAGATATATGACTACACCCTGTCAATAACCGAGTCTTGGCTAGACAATCCAGTGATCATTATGAACACCAAACCACGCCGTGAGGTAGATGAGATGCAATGTGGCAAGTCACCGGATCCATTACATTGTTCTTACAGCCACAGTAGGTTGTTGGGGTCCATTTCCCACCCACAACCCTGACAGGGGTGGAGTATAGGGGTCCAGGACAAGCATCATTTAAAACAATGGTGTCATGTAGGATATTAAACGAGCTGCCGTGTAATACCATCTGTATTAAACGAGTTTGATACTAAATCTTTCACGAGTAATATAAAAATGGTATTTCACGGAAGAGAGTTTAGAATTCTGTTTATTATTCTCCAACATAAATTGATAGAAATTGCTCACAGTCAGATAACACTCAGCTTTCCGCGATTCAAGGTAGGCCTACTACTATTGTGACAGGGGTATTACCATTGTGACGTCATAACAGTAAACCACTATGACGTCATAAGTAAATCACGAGATGTTATTATACAATGTGTAATAACATTGTAAAATTATTAAACAGTGATATATTCAACGGGTGAGTAATAAGCGTAAATATGCAGTGGAGGTTGACTGAAGAGTCATGAGTTCTGACACTCTGTGTATGTGTATGTGTGTGTGTGCGTGCGCGCGCGCGTGTTATCAAGTTCTCAAGGACCTCCCGATTCTTTCATGTTGCAGTAGTTCACTCTGTCCTGCTTTCATATAATCTGTCGTGTTGTGACAGTCACATGAAAGAAACAGGCAATCCTCAACTTCTTTTGAGAAATAAAAATAAAAGTTACAAGACCTTTCACCTGAAATCTCTGCCAAATGTACAACACGAATAAATACACACAAGCAGGTCAAGACAATTATTTTATTGTATAAAAGATGTCATATTGCACTCTTAGTGGTGTTGTGATACTTGTCCACGATCAATGAAGAGATTGGCTGGATTGTGTTAACACCTAGACAAGTTCCCAATCTGGGCGGCTGTAGTTACGAGTATCTAGGACAATATGGAGAAATGACTAGGGCAAAAGACACGACCGCATTAGTAGGCCTTTGATACGATAACTTACAATCTCAATGTTAATAAGTTTACCAACAATAAATCATGACAAAACCCATTCATCATGACATAAAAGTGGGTTGGAAAAACAATATAAAGATGCACACGTGAAATTTGGTCAAATTGACGAAATTTCTTTCAACAAAATTGTACTTTTACAACGAACCAAACTCAGCCATGATACCTGACGCAGTTATGTCCCTTGCCTGATTGGCGTGAAAGAGGGGTAAATATGTTGATATTATTCTAGGAATAAGACAAGCATATTTCAATAATAATGCACACATATCGAATGTACATGATTTGATTCGGGTGACCAATGGTGTAAGTGCGATCATAAGATGGTTGCTCAGAGCAGAGAGTGTGACAATGACTTTCCAATATTTTAGTAGAGATTCCTCATTACAACATATTGATATTGTAATATGTCACCAATCACTCAATAAAGTACTTTTCCATGCCTTAACTGAGGGTGAATATGTGATAGGTCACCAGTGCAAGAACGCACTACATATGGTAATAGGTTCCAATCAAGGGGACATCTCTCCAATTTTGATTCGTACGTTAGAAGAGTTGTCTTTCTTACATGTGTACTTCAAGAACAAGTTTCTTTAACTGATCCATAGTTATGTATACTTACTGAGCACTGGTGAACTTCACAATAAATGAAATGGAAAAATGATTGTGACGGATGAACAAAAAACAGAAATGGAACCGGGTGCATTCAAACGACCATGCTACAAAACCGTTGAGAAAACAATCTGGTCAAAACGGCCATAAAATGTGAAAACGACAGAAGCACCAAAGCATCCCCCAAATTATGCTTATTTTAACTTTAGAAAACACATTTCTGTATGGTTTGCCGTTTGGGCGTTGTTCATTGAGCCTTTTACAGATTGACGTCATTGTGTCAAAATCGTTCAGATATGATCCCCGTTTCTAAGCAATATGAATATGATATGAATATAGCTACAAATAAATATCAATATGTGTTATATAATAGTGTGTACTTCTCTGTGAATTGTAATAAATAAATGTCAAACGACTTGATTGACAGGAGGTGGATAACGAACTCATCATAAATAATAAATAGTACTAAACACACATTATTAAATACTACAAGCATGGAGGGTAACACACACAAGAGTTATTATGCAGCAATCTCACAATAGGAACTAACTTCACCCCCTGTACACCCAGTGTTGTCAATTATGAACTTCAGAACATGTTATACTGAATTGCCCGTGTAACACGGGATGTTGCTAATGTAAACCATATTGCCACCAGAATCCAGTGACGGATGCAGGGACCATATGGACTTGGATGCAACACATTATCATCTTGCATGTTGACAACAGACTGTGCCACAGGAGGGTGAGTTTAAATCCTACATTAACAGGTGGTACAATATAATGCATGTTTTGGTTATCATGTCAAAGAATCCGTAGATTCGCCCTATTTGGGGTCAACAACTCTGCAACAGTACATACACAGCCATAGTTCACCAGGGAGGAGAGTGTTTGTCATTAAATAAACGATTGACTGCTTCAAGGTTAACTCTAATACTCCTTACTAACTAAAAATACAACAGAACGATTTTCTAATTGACAAAAGATCAAATGTCTCGATTTACAAATTCTTCTTCACCATTATTTGTTCTCAGAAAATGCATTTTGTAATATCCGTGCTTAAGAAATAATAAAATCTGTACCAAAGGTAGCAGCGTGCGAAAACATATTGCACTAAAATAAGGATTTTACCTGACACAGAAACAAGAAAACAAATAAAGTTTAGGTTCTTTTAAGGTTCAACATGAAACTATCGTCCCCAGCAAGTAAGCAGTGTCAAATATACATCGGTTTAAGACATCTGATGGTGTATACTGGAATCACATCATATCGAGAACATCCAATAAGTCACATATTCTCTATACAGCCAGTGGTATTCGGTAGGAAATCTATTCTAACACGAATAGTTAAATTGCAAATAAACTTTACCTGGTATAATTAACTTTGAAACTCACTGGAACTGAGAAATACATGTATTGTATGTATTGGTGAGCAGTATACCAAGTCAGTTTATCTACATGATGTTCCAATAAATCTTCAACAGGCCAAAATTCAGAAATTGGGGTGAAGCAAATTTTAACCATACAATGGAATTTACCCAGTCATCATTTTTCTAATGACTACAAGTAATTGAACTCTTAGTCACTTATGAAACCATGGCAATCATTATGGATGCCATATGAAATATTGACATCATGATTATTAGAGATGTACATAGGATCAAAGGTTATGCTAAATGGTGGCAGTAATAAATCAGCATAGTTGACAGATTTTGTATTTAATATATAAATTTGACACCAATGATCCTCCACAAGAATATTGTTTACAGACAGAAATATGAATATTCCTCTCGAACAGCATTCCTTTTTCCTTCACACATTGAAGGTAGTTTTCAAAAACAAGCACAGTTAATGAAGTTTCACAGTAGTTATCAATTGAATCCAGATTTGAATAAAGTCCCAGGTATTGACTGGAACATCATGAAGGTAAAGGTCCCTGCATACAAGGAGATGGCATAAGCAGAGATGATGGAGAATTAAGTATGGACAAACTATATATCACAAAATTGGAAAGCACACTGTTATTTCACACAACAAGGTTTAAAATAAATAGGGTAATTCAATAGCAACATATTTTGTGTGTTTATACATTCACAGATTATCAACATACCAAAATGCAATATAACTGCTTCGTAGACAACTGAATCCACAGATGTGACATAGCACATTAACATGAGTTTGTACATTGGGAGGACTGGGACGCGCCAAGTCCTAGGTAATAGTTCTTCAATATAATGCTTGCTAGCACTTAGGATATTTATACATTTCAATGCATGTCTACAAAAAACACCACATTGCTGGTTGTGCCACCGACACTAACTAATATTATGATTTTCTAAAGCATTACAAGTATCATCACAACCTTTCAGGAAATATGTACAGGAAGTCGGTCTGACATACTTTCTACAACTGTCACTGAGTGTAGCACATCAAGTCTTGGGGCGTCGCCTAAATAGTTTATGAATACAGAAAAAATCAATAAAGAAATTGACAAGCCTAACCTATGTTCAACTTGATTTAATGAAAAGTAAAACTTAACACAAAAATAACGGTTCAATTATTTTTGTCTGATTGAAAATGTAAGCATTAAGGAATACACCTGTATCAAAACATGAGTAGCAAAAAAAGAAAAAATAAGAAAGAAAAAGTTAAAATGAATGAATTCAGATAACATAAATATAATCTATTTAATGAAATGAGTTAATCTATGTAATATTACCCGGAAAAAAATCTATCCGGAACATATTATCACATATGTAACCATTTTGACAATATGCATGTTTGAAATTCCAATTTTGTTTGGGTTTGATAGATGTGAAAATGGCCATGATAGGGATGAAAATGAACATTTACAATTGTCAGCAAACAGAAAAATGCCAAGCAGGTTGAAGTGGTACACTCAGCACATCAAGAGAAGCTCTGTCGCAGTGTTTGGTACTCTACATTGCCACATACTACCACACTTAGCAGCAGGCTGTCACACACATCTGCCTTAAAGGATGAGACCCGCTATTCGAACCGGGCTCCGTCGTCGTGGTAACGTCTGGAGCAGTTACGTTAAGAACCAACACAACATTAGACAGCCTCACAAACTGAACTGGATTTTACATATTTATAAAAAAATATGAATACTTGTTGTATAGTTTTTGATATTGTCATCCAATGCACTTAGGATGTTATAATAAAATGTCATAATCTATTTTGCATACTGGATTGGAATGGTGAGTGAAGAGTGTTTTTCCCATCTATAATCCTACATTGTCACCAGTTAAACTGTAAATACACAAAATTCAATTCAGTGCGGACTCTTTCAAAAGTACATCTAATAACAAACAAAGTTATCACAAGACAGGACCACTGTACGGAAACATGATGTTGCTTTTACACAGTAACCATGACTACCAGGGAGGAAGCAGTTGCTAGGACACGGTAACCATGACTACCTTGGGGGAAACTGTAACATGACACATGCAAATGTGGTTGCTGAATCGATGAATTTCTGAAGAGAGGCGGAAAACACTCCAAGTTCGGCATTTGTTTAAATCCTAAGTAGAAGCCTCTCTGTCCTCAACACAATTACAATGTTTGTTACTATAGAGGATTAAAGGCAAGTTTGCAGACAAATAATATGCCTCCGTTAAACCTAAAGTCACAATATTCTAAGTCTAAATCTGAAACAATTACATTTGTATTCCCTTTTCAATCCAAAATGCAAAAGGAACATGCTGCATCATCTGAAAATATTTACCAGTACTCACAAAGTTAGCTATGTTATAATTTGACCAATAAATGATTTCAGATGACTGCAATCTTCCGTTCCGCAAAATTCAGTGTGTACCACCTCTCTTGTATTCATATGAAAGCTTGAACACTGACAGCCACCACACCAAGACGCCAGACTGCAGGTTCCATCCTGCAGCTTCTCGCTGACAAACACGTTGAAACATGGCACAAGTATTAAATCATCAATAACCTTTTTGAGGATCAGTGACTTAAAATGATGTGGCGGATTACCTTTGGGACAAAACATATTCAAGGATGTCCATATCATCTGTATACTCATGGAAACAAATAGAGGATCATATGAAGGCAAGCATTGCTAGCCATGACATCCTGTGGATGTTGGAATTATGTATGGTAGTGACGCACTCAAGGATTGCCGAACTAAACAAACTGTACGGAAGTAGTTTTTGTTGCTAGATTACTGTAAGAATGAGAAAAAAACATCTTCCAGTATGAATTAAAACATTATCAAAACAAAATATTTCATTATTGAAAACCATTAAAATCACCATAATTCTAAAACACTATTGAATTCTTATTAAGTTCACTTTATTAAAGTGTTTAAGTCAATGGCACACATTCGCGAGATGATTCACTGATCCACTACCATTTCTAAATGTTCCTTTCTTTTTCCATCAGTATAGGAACTCCAAAGGGAAAGAAAGTTTTGTAAGAATACATACTTGTACATGTTTCCCACGGCATCTGAGTGAGGCGTTGAACATGTGTCATGTCTATATACATACTGACCAGCAACATATCATCACTAATAATACATCACAATGTAACCAACAAGTAGAGGCTGCCTACTAGAGCCATCGAGCTTTGTGATTGGTTAATATGTTGCATTGCAAATTGAACTGACCAATCGGAAATGTTGTGACAGAGATCCAACAAAATATACAACTTTAAGGCAGCCAGTTTGCGGACTTGGAAAATCCGTAGTTATTTCAATAAATACACAGTACCCACCAATCATGCTGTAGGTTTCTCCAAATAAAATAGTGTAATTTTGACATAGAAATACTAGCTGGCATCTTCATGACGAATGTGTATTTCTTTGACAGTACTTTAGGACTCTGTTTAACCTTACAAGAATCTCAGCTTCTGATTGACAAATATACAACAGGGAACAATATATCTCACAGTTCATGATCAGTCAGCGATAAATATCTATAGCATTATGTGTTTGTCAAAAGGGACAAAGGTGTTATCCAACCATTTTGGTATCCAAATAGAATATCAGATACCCCCAAATCTCATATAAAAGTTCAGACCAACAAACTTTCTGATTTTTCTTAATCTAGTCCACTGATGTGACTTTCTGTGTTACATAGATAGCACACAATAAGTAAATCACATGTTTAGTCATAAGTATTAAAATCGAATTCATGGACTTCTCCTGTCATAACTACATACATGAAATGTAATTACAACTAGGCAAGCCTTTTGCTTGTATAATGCATGTATATTCTATGTGGTCTAAACTGACCAGGGAAACAATCTCTTCTTCATATCATGTCATTCTTACTATAATCAATGGTTAAGTTGTAATTACTCCTAGTGAAAAATAGAGTTATCACACAGTTGAGATGATTTGCAGCCTTGTCTGTCAACAGTATCACCCACACCTATCTCCACCATCTGAAAACATCACCACTCTCCAGGTATTGTTAGAACATCCAAACAATTATATTTAGACCCAGCGGATATTGCACTGATGTTTGAAAGGTAGTTCCTGGCAGATGACGTTTGGCATACACAACGGATTGTGATTCCAAGTTTATGGGACTTACGTATATTATTTCCTTCTGAGTTTTAAGTGGTATCGTAGGATGCCGAACAAGAAGACAGGTACTAAAAGCCTTCACTAACTCAAAATTACTATTCGAATCATCTTAACTTGTATGCTAAAGACATTCCATGTTAGGTCTCCAGCTACTGTTAACAGAGCCATATGGATGTGTGGATGTCCTATTGCAACCTTATATCAGCTAACTTGTCACTTGACCATGAGACATAGTTTCCGAGCTGACTCTGCTACGCTCATACACTCCACGTTAATGAACTGAAAATGTCCAAACTCCCATATTCAAAACCATGTACATGGACATATGGTTCATCAAGACTCCCATCATTTAGAAAAATTCCACTCGTTTTGTGTCTGTAAACAGAGTCCTAAAGTAGAGTTCAGTTGTCCCCATGTTTTGTATAGCTGCATATTGAAAACATCTGCTCAAAGGACACTCGCTTTGTATAATGAATACACACATTGAAGCATAAAGTGTGAGTAAAACCTCACAGCAGAGATCAGAATATATTGCGTACCCAGATAGATGGAGTTGTCATCTATGTTGTACAGACTCATCTAGGAAATGGTCATGTTTTGAACAGTTTGTCACAAGTTTCCAGTGTTTCTTTAGTACTTTGTACAAATCATCACTTAAACATACACATTTCACCACAAAGTCTTAAACTTTTTATGATTACAGTCTGTCATCAACCTGTACAGCTGTTCAATGTAATACAGATTTGTACTGACTGTAACCTGTACAGCTACTCTGTGCAGCTGAAACACGTGTTTTCACCTACATATATTTGTTCTTTATAAAACTGTTTCCCCAAAAGAACTGTCTACTGTTTCCTAGTGAGAACACATCCACGCAGTACAGTTGGACTCTGGCATGGACTAGACATAGGGAATATATTTCTTCACACATTATGCAAATATTGCAGATGATTTGTAAGAGAGCAGGACTGCACTCAAGACAACATACTGGACTATTGACCTTGTTCCTTCACTGTTTGCCACGATGTGCCCGTCCCCCGCTGCAGTACACCACACACAACACTCACAACTGAAGCGTGGATCGAGTCTGTAGTCCCTCCCGAACAGTCACAAACACCTACAGCAGTGCACACAACCTGCCCACAACACACAACAGCCAGCACCACACGGGGCACATCTACTCGCACTCAAGTCCTTTTAGGCATTGTGAACATTTTCTTTGTGAATAAGGTTCCTTCAGGAAGATACCTTGGGTCCATGATAAGTGCACCAAGTAGATCAGGTCAACTGATCTGAGAATATCGAATGTGACATGCACTGGTTGTATCAACTTGGTAGAAATGAACAAGCTTTTCTGGTGGTTATTTGATGATACTACAATCGGTTTCATTTATGGCATTGCTGAAATATTTTCATAGCCATGGCCACAAAATTTGTGGCCCACTTAGTATGATTTATTGGGTGAAAAAATACCACACATGGTGTGCTGCTATCAGACATAGTTTTGTAATGGCCAGCCGTTTCACACCATACTGTTCCCATGGTAACTAGTCATTTCTGTATCCATGGCAACTGATCCACTGACCTCGTCAGCAGCTGGCATTTGGATAATGAGAAGCAAACAGCACATAATATCTTCTCCAACATAAATGGGATGTTAGTCAATTGGATTTCACTCCAGAATTTTGGCAAAATGAAGTTCTCGGAACGGTGTCTGTCACATATTGTCTGTATCCCATGAATTGCACTGTTGTATTGACATCGAGTCCTGTTGTACACAAGACATGAAGTGTTTGACATCATGTTGCACAGATTACACTATTGTTATGTGTTGTACTGACATCAGGTCCTGTGACACAGATCACACTATTGTGAAGTCTTCTGTGTAGCCTTTGTCACCCTTGCTGTCTTTGTGCCGTATCTGGCCATCGGATTCAGACTCGGGCACGGGACGGTAGTGTCTGTAAGAGAAACATATTACAGAATGTGTTGCAACACCCTGATTACTATCTATATTGAGCAGCAACTGTATCCCTCCTATACACATTTCAATTACTAAGCACTGATGATGTACTTTTATATGTAAAATCGCTGACCAACCCCCTCCCTGCATATGTCAGTTTCAGTCCACATCCTTTCTTACAGTCTATACTGCCTTCCATCCACCATCCATCCATGCACTCATTCATACATCCATCACATTCCCCTACCCGTCCAATCTATTCATCCACCCATCTTCTCACCAATCCACCCACCCGTCCAATCTATTCATCCATCCATCTTCTCACCAATCCACCCACCCATTCAATCCAGCTATCTTTAACTCACCAATCCACCCACCCATTCAATCCATTCATCCATCTATCTACTCACCAATCCACCCACCCATTCAATCTATTCATCTATCTACTCACCAATCCGGCCAACCATTCAATTCAATCCATTCATCCATCTACTCACCAATCCACCCACCCATTCAATCCATCCATCTACTCACCAATCCACCCACCCATTGAATCGATCTACTCACCAATCCACCCACCCATTCAATCCATTCATCCACCCATCTACTCACCAATCCACCCACCCATTCAATCCATTCATCCATCTACTTACCAATCCACCCACCCATTGAATCCATTTACTCACCAATCCACCCACCCATTCAATCCACCCATCCATCCATCTTCTCACCAATCCACCCACCCATTCAATCCATTCATCCATCTACTTACCAATCCACCCACCCGATCAATCCATTCATCTACTCACCAATCCACCCACCCATTCAATCAAGCTATCTACTCACCAATACACCCACCCATTCAATCCATTCATCCATCTATCTACTCACCAATACACCCACCCATTCAATCCATTTATCCATCTACTCACCAATCCACCCACCCATTCAATCCATTCATCCATCTACTCACCAATCAACCCACCCATTGAATCCATCTACTCACCAATCCACCCACCCATTCAATCCATTCATCCATCTATCTACTCACCAATACACCCACCCATTCAATCCATTCATCCATCTACTCACCAATCCACCCACCCATTCAATCAATTCATTCATCCATCTATTCACCAATCGAACCACCCATTCAATCCATTCATCCATCTACTCACCAATCCACCCACCCATTCAATCCATCTACTAACCAATCCACCCACCCATTCAATCCATTCATCCACCCATCTACTCACCAATCCTCCCACCCATTCATTCATCTACTCACCAATCAACCCACCCATTGAATCCATCTACTCACCAATCCACCCACCCATTCAATCCATCCATCCATCCATCTACTCACCAATCCATCCACCCATTCAATCCATTCATCCATCCCTCCATTTACTTCTATTAACCCACCCATCTATACTTAAAACTTTCATTTGCAATTAATTCAATCTGCTTTATTTGCTGTCTTGTGTATCTGTACAGTTAGAAATTAGCCTGCAAGATACATTTGTCACAGAGTTGCCACCAAGGTGACAGAACCCTGCTGGAGACGCACCTGTCAAGTAAGCTGACCCTCTCCTCCTCCTCTTCCTCTTGGGGGCTGCTGAGACTGGGCTGGGCGAGGGACATCACCAGCGGCTTGTTCTCATCCGTCCCCGGGGTCTGCAAGCTCACATCATACTTCACTTTGGAGTGAGGTGTGCCTCGACCCCCTGAAGCACAACCTTCAAACAATGGAACAACTTACAGTCAGGAAAATCACACCAATGAGAGTAAGAGGAATCAAACCATTTTCGGCTTTTATCAAGTGAAAGGCACAAAGATGGTGTCTGTACAACTATGATCCCTTTCTGACAGTAACATAAGTGGTCGAGTAAATAATAATGTTTGGCACCCACAAAATAATATTACTTTAGGTTCATGATAGCAGGAAAAGTAGACAGAAAAGGGCATCACTATTCAATTCTATATACTGGCATTGAATGTAATTTAAAACTACCACTGAGCATTAAGAAACAAAACAAAATATTCCCAATTCTGAACAAAAACATTCTTGATTTGCTGGCAGTGGTCATTCTGTTTAAAATCCTCCACAAATCCATGCACTGAGAAAGTGGCTCACCTCTCCTCTTGGTGCCCTTAGTGGCATAGCCCTCTGCAGGGTAGTGACCGTAGGCCTCCGGGGGGCTGTCGGAGTGGGGGGAGTCGCGGCCAGCAAAGGAATACGTCACCTCCTCACTGTTGGTGCTAGTCGTACTTGTCCGACTCTGCGTTCTGTAACATTTTACATCATCTGCTTAGCATTTGTTTCAATCACTTATCATTCCTATATGTTACTCATCATGATGAAGGCAGATAGTTCTACATCAAACAACCCACCTGGGAACAAACGATGTGCCCATCTGTCGCTTGCTGACTATCTGCCCCCTCTGTTTCCCCCGGTTACGCCCCCTCATCCTCCGTGGAGGACTCCGATGCTCGTGGGACTCTCCTCCCTCACACTCCGTTGTGTCACTCTCCATCTCCATCCGATGTTGTCGCCGCCGTTTCTCTGCAACATCAACATTGCCTGTGAAATCATTCTGATCATACTCCTTCCTGTTTAAGAACTTATGTCAAAGGCATAGCAGTTGTTTTACTTCTGTCTCACAACATATATTGTTTAGGCCGTAATAGCTACTTACGTTCATATGCAGGTACTTCACAGGATGCCTCTCTCTGTTCATTAGGTTTCGGAGGCGACTGTGTGAACATGCGGATGCCCGGCTCAGTGGCAACAGAGCTGTCTGTGGGCTGTGATGAGTCATCAGGTGGGGTCTCGTAAAGGATGGGAGGGGGTGGGTTTCTCCTGGCGTTCTCCAGTGCCTCTAGTAACTCGTCCCTACTGGATGACACGGTTGTCACGCTGGAGATGACGCTGTGCCGTTGACTACCTGGAACACAGAGGGCTGTACTGAGGAGGAGAGTCAGCGTTGTGTTCGTCATATATGATTAATGACACCCACTGCAATATTCCAGCTATATGATAGCAGTCTGTAAATCATCAAGTCTAGGCAGTCAAGTGATCATTATGCATAATGAGCAATGTCCAAACAATCAACCTTATCTTGCCTCACACATAAATGTCATTTTCTGATTGGCTGAGTGCTCTTCTGTTATTTTCAATGTACCCCGCTTACAAGCGAGGAACACTTTCTATGTACCCCGCTGGGAATGCCGAACTAATATGGTACTTCGTAGTAGTACTTCTTTATCGTGAATACAATTGAATCACGGATGATGTACGGAAATTACCGATGTTTTGCAAATGCAAATCGGTGGAAGGGAGATAACTCTAAATTTGTTTTTCTTGTCGTCTTGTCGCCTGGTACTCCAAACTATGATCCGATACCCGTGCTTCAAACAGTTAATTACCATTGAGGTGTTCGGTAAGATAAATACGTTGTTCACTGGCCCCTCGGGGCCCCTCAAGGAACATAAACAAACATAGAGGGTACATCAGCCCATGTTCCCCTCGAGACCAGTGAACAACTTATAATGTATACCAACTATTTCAACTTAACAGGCCTTGTAGTTTGAAGATGTAAGAATAGAGAAAAAGTTGTAGGTAAAGTCAAAATACAGACAGTATCTAGCTACATTTTGATATCCAGCAAACTGTTTGGCACAAGCAACAGCTGTCTGCGGTTCATCGGAGGTACATGTGTGATGCCATCATCACCCACCTGACAGCTGAACTCTGACAACTGACCTCTAAACTAACCATAACGACCCCTTACCTTTGTCACTTGACCCTGACCCCGACTTGTAAGCACTGTGGGGTCGTGGCGGGCCCTGCGTGAACAGTGCATGGATCTGATCTGCACTGGCATACTTTCGGGGACTTAAAATAATACCTGCAACATTCAACACACTGGATTATCCTCCAGCATTCAAACTGTACATCAGCATTTCTCAAACACTACATTACACATTCAATATCTGCATTTCTCAATCACTAAGCACACAGGCTTCTCTGATATCCTTCAACCTTCATCTTACAATCCATGTTGATCATTATTTCATGTTGATTTCAGAAGTTGATTCTTAAATGTCAAGGCTGCTATTCACATCAGGTCATCTGACGTTTTAGATCTATGTACAACAACATGTTTGTGGATAGAAACATGACAGACAAAACTTGTTAGGAACATTGTCATGAAACTGCTTAAAGCCTTTTGGTTGGTTGGTCATGTATCAGTATTTTATAACTTTCTTGATAATATTCATTTATCAACTATCTATTGCAACAAGAGTATGAGTTGAGCTATCTATTGCAACAAGACAAGTATGAGATGAGATATGTGCGTGACAAGATACAGAGGTGAGTCGACAGATGAAGCAATATAGGTCTCAGTAGTAAGACAGAGAGGCCACCGTACATATTAATATATGTCAACACCCACAGCAACAGGGAAACCACAGCTTGTTTGTTGATCATAGAGAGGTATAGAGAAACACAGAGAGTGGTCTACATGGGTGTGTTCTGACAGATGTGTCACAAGCTGGTTCACCTTACTACTTGACAGCAAATTTAACATTCATTGAAAAGATAACCTAAGCCTAGACTTGATTGAAGAAAAAGTAGCTGTTTCTAAATACTCAAGGTCAGAAACAAACAGTTTTAACAGACGAGCCTCATGATATTATATATCAGTAACTGAATTACAACAGGCACATCAGGTCAATCATGATAATGTACATCCTGTGCACTACCTTTTAACACCTTTTACACCATTTAAGGAGCAGCACAAATTTCAAGAAACACGTCGGTCATTCTAGAACCTGCACACATTACACAGACCCAAAACATCCCTTGGCGTCTATTTTCCCTTCACGGACTGAGTCACTACAGCAAGTTATCTCCTTATCAAGACTGTGATAAAACTATAATCAAACCATTTCACCAGACACAGACTCATCACAGTAAGTCTATAGGTTGTAAGAAAAACAGCAGAAAGTGCCCTTTTAGAATAAACGCTACTAGGGAGTGAGAAGAATGAAGCCCAAGAGGTTGTAAGAAGAAACAAGCTATCAAGGTTGTGAGAATAATTAAGCCCTCTTGTGAAAAGAAACAAGCCCTCTAGGTTGTGAGGAGAAACAAGCCCTCTAGGTTGTGAGGAGAAACAAGCCCTCTAGGTTGTGGGGAGGAACAAGCCCTCTAGGTTGTGAGGAGAAACAAGCCCTCTAGGTTGTGAGGAGAAACAAGCCCTCTAGGTTGTGGGGAGGAACAAGCCCTCTGGGTTGTGAGGAGAAACAAGCCCTCTAGGTTGTGGGGAGAAACAAGCCCTCTAGGTTGTGAGGTGAAACAAGCCCTCTAGGTTGTGAGGAGAAACAAGCCCTCTAGGTTGTGAGGAGAAACAAGCCCTCTAGGTTTTGAGAAGAAACAAGCCCTCTAGGTTGTGAGGAGAAACAAGCCCTCTAGGTTGTGAGGAGAAACAAGCCCTCTAGGTGGCGAGGTGAAACAAGCCCTCTAGGTTGTGAGGAGAAACAAGTCCTCTAGGTTGTGAGGAGAAACAAGCCCTCTAGGTTGTGAGGAGAAACAAGCCCTCTAGGTTGTGAGGAGAAACAAGCCCTCTAGGTTGTGAGGAGAAACAAGCCCTCTAGGTTGCGAGGTGAAACAAACCCTCCAAGTCGACCTATATCCTAACAAACTCCTACCCTGATTGTCATAACCTTCTTTACTTTTAGGAGGCCGAGTGGCTGGCAGAGGCGGAGGTTCCTGTTTGCAAGCATACTCGGCTTTCGTGTGGAAAAACGGAACATATGGCTCGGATGGCGTTGAAGACAGACCCTGAAACAATTTAGAATTGTTAATGTATGTTTAGAGCAGAGAATAGAACCAGATTGAAATGGGCACAGGGACTGGGATTGGTATATCTTGTATATGTTTTTTTTCTTCAAACTGTCTTTTCTTTTTTGCTCCAAATGTTCACAATTGTGAAATATGACATGAATCTATCTATTCCACCAAGCATGACTAGTCTGCTTGTTTGGGAAGAGATGATCAATAATAAATTTACAAGAACAGTAAAAGCAGTCAGCAATTTCATCTATGTTGTTTTTCATCATTCATCCCAATGATTTGGGAAAGATCTTTTCACCAAGTAACAATAAAAACAGGTAAAAGTTCAATGACACCCAATCCAGCAAGCCTGATCAGATTTATTAAGTCACCTCTTAGGACCAGCAAGGTTGCTGTTGATTTAAAATAACCTGAAAACACTACTACTTGAGGTGGAAGTGTGGTAATAAGAGACAGCTTGTTATTTTACTGTTTTGATTGTGACACCCACCTCTCTCTGTGCAGCTGCTTTCTGTAATGCTATTTCATCTTCATCTGAGGACTTCTGGTACAATAAGTCCTGCTTCTTACTGGGTGGTGCCATCACAGCCTTCATCTCATTGAAAGTGGCATACGGATTGATGTTTCCTTCATCCTCTACAGACAGACGAAGAGATGTATCATAGCAATATCCTACTTAGATTCAGCACAACTGAGTGATTCTAAAAGCACACAAATTGTTGAAGAGAAGAAATAATGAATCTGTCATTCAGATACCGATACATAGTTCCAGAACACTCAAAATATTTTACAGTCACAAAATATTTCTGCTGTTTTCTTAATTGCTAAAAGAAATAATCTGCGAGCCATGACAAATTTCCCCATGAACTTCAGATTGATGTTTGGGATCCATTGAACAGAATGGGTGTTTGGTATGCACTTGCACCAAATACATCTTTCAAGAATTCAAAAAATAATTGTGTTACCAATAATTGTAGTCTTCTAGGATATGGATGAAAAGATCAAAATGAAACTGATTTGCAGAATAATAATTTAGCAATGTGAGATATTTTCTTGATATTAAATCATTTGTGTATAAACATGTATATAAATAAGTGATTTAAATCTTAGTCCCCTTGCAACAGTAGGTATGGTTATATAAATGTATTTTGTTAATGTAATATTCGTTAAAATTATTAAATTGCTAAATGTTGTTGTTGAGATAATTACTCTGCCTGCTCACCAAAACCCCCCTTTCACAAAATAAGCATTGTTTTAAATCCCATAAAACGTTTTCCATATACATAAGAATCACATATTGCAATACATGACTACATTTAGGGATGAGTACATGAAACTACCAGATTCTACCCATCAAGTGAGCCTCACCTGAACGTCCATAGGAGCCATTGTCACTGTTCGTCTTGCTGCTGTCATGAATGAGCCACGAGTGGCTGTTGCCATTCAAATTGTCATCGCTGTGCAGTGATATCAGAAGGTTCACGTTCCGCTTACTGAACTGTTCCGGTGTTGTGCTGTTGCTACTATCAAGGTCAACATTCAGACGCTTATCAAGGTCATTCATGAGAGAGGTCTCCGCTGTGATGTCCCGGCGTAAATTAGATGCTGTTTCTGAACAAGAACAATTCAAATGATAACAATGTCACACTGATGTTCTGTGAGTAGCATTAGTTCATAATCTCATGTTTTGCTAGATTGTCTGTATGAATGTTGAGTTAGTTTGATGTAATAGTGCACTGATTTCAGTCATGTCATGCTGGCATCAGGTCAGCGGAAAGTCCAAACTAATGCAGGTTGTAGTTTTACTACATGAATGTACCACAACCCCCTGATCATATTCAGAACCATTCTGGCCTCCAGCCATGAGGGGCGGTGGAGTAGCCCAGAGGTTAAAGTGTTTGCTCGTCACGCCAAAGACCCAGGTTCGATTCCCTACATGTGTACAATGTGTGAAGCCTTCTGGTGTCCCCCGCTGTCATATTGCGGGAATATTGCTAATAGCGGTATAAAACCCAACTCTCTCACTCACTCACTCCAGCCATTATATTCAGATCCTGAGTACACAGCAACATGGTGCTTTGGCCGAGGGACTGGAAAATGCCCCGATTATGTATAAGAATGATTGTAAGCATCTGTAGATAATTATACTATATATGTTTAAACTTAACAAGGAAATTAAAGTTTATCTGTTGAAAATATGAATATCTTTAAAAACATCAATTGAAATTTATCTTTAAAAGACAATTACAATCATTCATGCTTGAACTGCAATATGACGTAACCAGCATGCATTCATAACAGAGTTTACATGCATTAATGATCTGAGGCACAGTTATTCTGGCTTCATACTTGACTAATAGATTAAACTGAGACATGCCACATGCAGAACACACCTTAGATCTGGACTAACCTCAGATCAGGACACATTTCTGACCTCAACATACCCCAGACCAAGACTCTCCTCAGATCAGGACACTAATCAGACAATGACACACCTCAGACCTGGACATCCCTCAGATCAGGACACATATCTGACATCAACATACCACAGACCAAGACTCTCCTCAGATCAGGACACTAATCAGACAATGACACACCTCAGACCTTGACATCCCTCAGACCTGGACATCTCTCAGACCATAACGCCCCTCAGATCATGACACACCTCAGACCATGACACTCCTCACACCAAGATGCTCTCAGACCAAGACACTCCTCTGACCATGACACACCTCAGACCACGACACTCCTCAGACCAAGATGCTCCTCTGACCATGACTCTCCTCAGACCAAGACGCTCCTCAGACCATGACTCTCCTCAGACCATGACTCTCCTCAGACCATGACACTCTTCAGACCATGATACTCCTCAGACCATGTCACTCTTCAGACCATGACACACCTCAGACCATGACGCTCCTCAGACCAAGACACTCCCCAGACAACAACATACCTCAAACCTGAACACACCTCAGACCATGACATATCTCAGACCACAACAATGCTCAAAACAGCACACACTTCAGATCATGACACAACTCAGACCAGAAGCAAACCAGACCACAACACACTTTAGATAAGGACACACTTCAAACCACAAGACACCTCAAACCAGAACATATCTCAGACCATGACACATTTCAGACCAGAACATACCTCAATCCAGAACATACCTCAGACCATGACATGCCTCAGACCACAACATCATAACCGCCAACCATGAAATATCTCAGAGCAGGACACACCATTTACCACAAACAGTAACACATGACAGTAAAACACATATAACATGCACACCATACCATGCATTTATATGATATATGAGATTTATTCACATGAATAATTTAATGATAATATATATTGCATCTCTACAATTGTTTGACAATAAATAATGGCTTCATCACATCCTATGCATTTCTTTGACAATACATACCGGCATCCATCACAGACCACACATATCTTTGACAATATCTATCAGCATCCATCAAATCCCATGCATTGTTGACAATATAAACTGGCATTCATCATATACTACGTATTTCATTTTCACAATAGCTATCGGCCTCCATGACATACCATGCATGTTTTTGACAATATGTATCAGCCTTCATGACATACCATGCTTGTTTTTGACAATATCTATTGGCCTCCATGACATACCATGCATGTTTTTGACAATATGTATCAGCCTCCATCACATACCATGCATGTTTTTGACAATATCTATTGGCCTCCATCACATACCATGCATGTTTTTGACAATATCTATTGGCCTCCATCACATACCATGCATGTTGTTGACAATAACTATCGGCCTCCATCACATACCATGCATGTTTTGACAATATCTATTGGCCTCCATCACATACCATGCTTGTTTTTGACAATATCTATCGGCCTCCATGACAACATCAACCATAAGGCAACAACACTGAGTTGCAGAATGGTAGAAAATGTTGGCATACGTACTTCGTAACATACCTTTATATCGCAGTCGGTCTCGCCTCCTGCGACAATAAAGGAAGACGCCCACCCCAAATACCATGAGGAGAATGACGGCACCACACAACGGCACCATGATGTAGATCTTCTCATAGAACTCACTTTCTTCTTTGCGAGTAACATATATAGGGAGAATTGTACCTGGTGATAGAAACAAAGAATGTATTCAAAATCTCTTGTGTAAGGTGGAAATTATATCCATCATCAAAATGACCAATATTGGTTTGATAAGGTCATCGCAACATGTGTCAGACATTCATGTGTTTATCACGTGAATCAGTCAGCTTTATTGCCACAATAGCCCTCTGACATGTAAACAGACTTGTCCATGTATACCAGTAGTTAGATAGCTTGAGAACATTCAATAAGACAAAATTACAAATTATGTATGAAACTAAAGGGTTATTTTAAAAGTTAGGGTTTACGATTTGTAATATGGGAGCAAAGAAGGACTTTTCTCAGTATTTCAACAACATACTTTAGATCCTTCTTAGTCTGCTTCTAAATCCTTCATATTTTAGGTTTCAGTCATAAATCCGTGAATCCCTGCAGTGTGATATACTGGGAATCAAGCACACAAAAGCTTTATGGATAGTTCAGTGAATGGAATCGCTTCTTTCTGAGCAGACTCCTAATTGTACTTTTTACAACACAGTGACGGTGCTACTTACTGCCTGTGTATGTAAGAGTTGCAAAGCGGAGTTCACTCTCGGTGGATCCAGCGTCGCTGTGTGCCGTCACTGACATGATGTACCAGGTAGCGGGATGGAGATCCTGGACTGTGAACAACGTCTGTACAACACAACACATTAATGTAGTGAGATGTTTTACTTGGGAGTGAGTGAGACAGAGAGAGTGAATGTATATAAATGCATAATCAGCAATTTTACAGTCACATTGCTTCAGCAAGTTGAATATAATGTCTGGGCCAAAACAGGGCCCTCATGTCAATCAAAGGTCTGGGACACCATATCAATCACTGTCTGGGGCACCTTATCAATCCACAATGGGGCACAGTGTCAATCATTGCAATCAGGTGGCCCTCATTAACTGACCCTTTCACGCAGGGGAGTAACTGGTGAATATTCTGCCCAGGAATTCCCTTGGTGTTCAGAGCCTTCAAAAAGACAATGTAAATTCCTGCATCATAAAATGTACATTCTTGCACTTTTCAAACAATCTAGTAACTTGGTTTTCTGGTGAGACTTACAGTGTTGGGCTTGATGCTGTTGGAGACCAGCACCCAGTGTTCGTCTCCCCATACACAATACTTCACAGAGTAAAACCTGATGGGACAGCCAGAGGTCAACCAAGTGCCAAGGTCAAGGTCAACTGAGGTGACATTGACCTCCTTCAGGAGCATGCTTTGAGGTGGTCCAATGGGAGCTGAAACAAGACGAATGAGTTAGCGAACATCGGCAGCTGCAAATTGTCATGTATCCCACACAACATGCCAATAATGTACAGTTGAGCTGCAGAGGTTCAATTGTACAAAGTCACACAATTAAACATGTTTTGGGGGAACCATTCAAGTGCTATTCCAGTCTAATCAATGACAAGGCAGATATCTACCTCTAACTCTATCAACAATGGAGAAAACGTAATCCTTTTGTTATATCAGGATCAAGTAACGAGGCCTACAAAAACCTTTCTGTCCCTTATCACAGAGATAGTTTTCCTGGAAATGATAGACATAGACTGTACCTGATCCATTGGTTCTAGCTGAGACGACAGAACTGTCGAGACTGTCTCCCAGTCTGTTGAAGGCATGGAGGGTGAACTTATAGGCGGTGCCACACAGGAGGTTGGCGGAGATGTATGTCCGGTTGGACGAGCCAAGGTGTATAGTTTTCCACGATCCGTGTTCCTTCTTGTAATTCAACACAAACCCTGCAAATGAAAAGACATTGATTATTGAATTAAATGTGCTGAAGTGTAGTATGACCATGACTGGTCTCGGCAGTTCCTTAGATTATAAATTGTGATGTAAGTTGACCATCTCCACTTTGTACTTAGTAGTGTAGAGTTCTCAATAAGATATCCTCGTTTTATGTGTTGTCATGGAAATATGTAACAAAATGTACACAAAAGGTGAGGGTTATGACCTACCCTGTATAGCACTGCCACCGTTGCTGCCAGACAGCCAGTTGACCTGTATGGTGGACGTAGTGGTCAGCGCCAGGTACAGGCGGGGTGGTTGCGGAGGTGCTGTGGAAGGAGACATGCTGTTACAGGCAGTAGTCATAGAAAATGAAATTATTAACATGTAGGACCATTCTTCAGCAGCTAAAAAGGTATTTAATGATGAAGTGAGTTAGTTAATAGTTTAAAAGAGGAAATTCAATTCACACAATGGTTAATACATATTCAAGTAATCCCAAAAGTAATATTTGATGCATGGGTTCATACTTACTTCCTTGATGGTCGCCAACTGAAAGAATGAAAATATATAAGTTTTAGAAAAGGCTGAAGGTATACATGACCAAGGCAGTTCTGCAAAAAATATTTCTATTAGAATGTCGGTTCTTTTCAAGGGAGACAACCCTTGATAGATTTAGAAATTATCCTGACCAAGCAACATAAAGCGTTATAAATTATCTCTCCTCGCCTGCATGAAAGTATGAATCTGAGACTGATGGACACATACATATCCTGAGCAAGAAAAGGAGTTGATATGGTTTAACAGAGTAACACTTTTGGGCAAGTCTGGGATATCTTTGGTCTGCATATTGAAGTATCATTGCACAAATTGTTATATTATGTTAATCATTGAAATGATATTAATTATGACTTCAGATTGTTTCGTCAAAGTGCGACTCACCTTGAACTTTGAGGACGTAGGTGATGTCGTCAGTGCCGTGTTGGTTCTCTGCGTGGCAGGTGTAGTTGGCAGCGTCGGAGCCGGCCACCATGCTGATACTGAGAGAGCTGTTATCCAGAACCTTGATACGATCTGTCTGCTGGAGCTTCACACCTCTACAGCAGGACAATTAGACTAATGCTTAGTCTCCGAACATACATAATTTTGATAGAAACGAACAATTCCTTTCAAACTGAAAAGGAGCCCCAGTGTGAGGGGGAGATTAAGAAGCTGAGGAAATCTAGACTTGCTTCATTTAAGGATTTAGCACTGCAGAAAGGGCAAGGCAGGAGGGGAGATAATGAGGTTCAGGGACTATGAGACAGGGACAGGGTTAGAGGAGACCAGAGGGCACTCAAAGATGGGAGAGTGAGTTATAGTGAGTGAGTGAGTGAGTTTAGTTTTACGCCGCTTTTAGCAATATTCCAGCAATATCACGTCGGGGGACACCAGAAATGGGCTTAACATATTGTACCCACGTGGGGGAATTGAATCCGGGTCTTCGGCGTGACGAGCGAACGCTTTAACCACTAGGCTACCCCACCGCCCAGAGTGAGTTATAACACCACTTAGAATATCTGTCACTTTACAGGATGTCAGCTCACAATGACACCTTGAAGAGAGGCACGTGTGAGAGGTTTACCACTTCACACAAACCCCATAGCACTGGTGTGTGGTGACAAATCAAGAATCACTCTTAGAACAAGCCTGAGATTTGAGCGAACACAATCATAGGATTCTGGTAAATCTAGGGGACATAACTCTGCACACTGAAATCAAGAGCTACAGACTTTCCTTGTACAGTACAAATCACACAGAATATAAGAGATGCCCCATCACACAAGCCATGGGGCAACATAGGGCACACAATACGGTACACAATAGCACAAGAAACATGATGATATACAGTGAAGGGAACAATACATGATACAGAAAGTCAGCAGGACACTGTGTAACTGAGAACATTGTACATTCATATGAGAGAACATTGTATGTATAACAGTGTAGAGAATGTTGTGTATGACAATGTTGTGAAATGTGTACATGTGACTCAAGAGAATGGCCTATAAATATTTGGCCGGTGCCATGTGTGCATACCTGACTCTCCACTCGACACCAGGTGTTGGCTCCCCGATGGCCTCGCAGGGGAGGGATACAGTCTGATGCCAGGGAACAGTCAGTGACTTCGGGAAGCTAGCGATGTGTGCCGCCACTGTAAGGTAAGGTTTACATTAACTGTAAGTTCAATCATCATTTATAACACATCGCATGTATATGTACCTACACTGGCCACTAATCTGAAAGTACGATTCTGTGTTTGTTATTATATGTCGTACTCAGCAGTATTTCAGCAACAACTGATGATAGCCTTAAGTAACTCAGTCAGAACCAGTCAAAACATTATGATATTACAGCTGCTTTCTTGTCTATTAGAAGAAAGCAGCTGTAGATAACATTCACCAATCCAACAGGAATGTTACAGTACCAGCTGTGAGACTAGTGGTGAAATCCAGAGTTATCTTACCTTTCTTCTGTGGAGCTGCTACTGCTAATCCTGTCCTCTCCCCGTCCCCCATCATCGTCTTGGCCGACACCCGGAAACCGTACTCCTTCCCAGGCTCCAGGCCCCACACCATGTAGTGCAGTGTCGTGGATGGCAGGTGGACCCTCTCCTCAGTCTGCAAAAAAAATTGGCGTAATAATACCAACATGCATATTTATAATGTGCACACACTAAAGCATACTAAAGCACTTAGAAGATAAATAGTTTCGTTTGTTCAATTTCCGGGATTCATTGGAATTCAACATAGGCAAATTTAGTTTAAAACCGACAGAAAACACACACTATTGGTTTACAATATTTCATAACAATGGTCAAGTAATCAGAATTCGCATATGTTTATTTTCTGCTCCCTGGGCCGTATACAACTAACTCTGTCTGTGAGGTGTTAACAGTAAGTGTACCATGTCATCCAGTCAGGTTCTCACTCATTGCTGGGTGAGTTGGGGCATGTTTTGAAATAGTTCTTTTCCGTAGGAGACACAACATTTTACAACAATGCAGTTATCGGTCCTATCTACAAAAGGCCTTGTCAGTTGCCTTCCCCATTCTTTCAAGATTACTATCCAAGTATCTCTGTGGTCGATTTGAACTAAACCGGTGTAGAAAACAAAGGCCAATTTGGACATGTACTGGACTCAAGCTTTATCTATTTCAATCAAAAATCAATAAAACCACCAATAATCAACAGAACCTAGAATATCTGTTTGTTGAATATTTCGAACAATTTACTGCAACTATTATTACTACTACATACTGCTCAAATGGCTGTCAAAAAAGGGTATTATTTCAGTATCCAGTAAATGAATGCGTGTATAGTTAATGCCTAACATCGACTGAGGTAAAGCTATCTATTATATACCACCAATGATCAGTAATTCAATAAAACTTCCACAGTGTAAATATTTGAGCCTACCTCTCCTTCTATGGTTCCATTACGAATGTAGAGAGTATATCTGACAATGACACCATTTGGGTGTTCTGGTGGTTGCCAGGACACCAGAATACTGGTACTGTTGACAGCAAGGGCTTTTATGTTAGCTGGAGACTCTGGTTCTGAAATGCAATCAACTCCATCAAAATATTGCAGCATGTGGAGCCTTTATATCTGCTGCAAACATAACTCATTTCTCTATCAAACTTTCAAAACTTCAGTAAAACAACATCTTTTGAAAAACTAAGCACCATATAAACATCATTGCATATGATTTCTATTAGGACAAATCATTCATTAATATCTTAAACTATTCTTACCTATACTTCAAATTTGACAGTGAAATTGTAAAACAGGATTTGGATGTGAGATAATTAGGTTTTCAGTCCTGTAGGGGAATAAAATGCTGCAACCACCTTCTGGGTGAAATATAACTGAATCTGTTCTTGCAAACAGTTCACTTTGCAAAGGGAGACAACTTGTGTGAAATACTAAACAGCAGAAAACAATATTGGCAAAACAAACCTGTTTTATACAGCAACTGTTGGTTATACTGAATGTAGTTATAATGTCGATAATTAAGTGTGTGTCAGTGGTGATGTGTGGCGTTCCACTTACTGTCCTCCAGAGTCCTGATGTAGATGGGTTCGCTGCGGACGCCCTCCCCCTTCCTGGTGTAGGCCAGTACCTGGATGCTGTAGTTGGTGTACTTCTCCAGCCTCGTCAAGATGGCCTCCAGCTTGGCAGATGTCACAAAGTTAGCGTCACTCTCATCTGTGGTCAACAATGTTATCTGAATTAACATGTATATTTTTACTTATGTTGACTGTTTGCAATATTAAACTACAAGACTTGTCAACAATATTTTTTTAAACCGACATTCAAATGAGAAACTGCATTATCCTATTGGCAGAATTAAAATCGAAATTTAATTAAATGTTAATATACTCATCTGCATGAAACCGTTCAGTGACATGTATAACCTTTCAGTGACATGTATAACCTTTCAGTGACATGTATAACCTTTCAGTGACATGTATAACCGTTCAGTGACATGTATAACCGTTCAGTGACATGTATAACCTTTCAGTGACATGTATAACCTTCCAGTGACATGTATAACCTTTCAGTGACATGTATAACCTTTCAGTGACATGTATAACCTTTCAGTGACATGTATAACCTTCCAGTGACATGTATAACCTTTCAGTGACATGTATAACCGTTCAGTGACATGTATAACCGTTCAGTGACATGTATAACCGTTCAGTGACATGTATAACCTTCCAGTGACATGTATAACCTTTCAATGACATGTATAACCTTTCAGTGACATGTATAACCTTTCAGTGACATGTATAACCTTCCAGTGACATGTATAACCTTTCAGTGACATGTATAACCGTTCAGTGACATGTATAACCGTTCAGTGACATGTATAACCGTTCAGTGACATGTATAACCTTTCAGTGACATGTATAACCTTTCAGTGACATGTATAACCTTTCAGTGACATGTATAACCTTTCAGTGACATGTATAACCTTTCCCCAACAGTTAATCCCTATCATTATGTAAACACCTCCTTCCTGCATGAAACCTTTCAGTGACATGTATAACCTTTCCCCAACAGTAAATCCCTATCATTATGTAAACACCTCCTTCCTGCATGAAACCTTCCAGTGACATGTATAACCTTTCCCCAACAGTAAATCCCTATCATTATGTAAACACCTCCTTCCTGCATTATTAGAATCATCCTTACACAAGATATACAGACAGTCACATGTTCATGAAGTGTGTTCATCCCGATAATGGCTACAGTCCAGATTAACATAGCTTCACAGCTTATTATACACCAAAGTATGAAATCAAGTCTGTGTGGGTATGGAAACTGAAACATTGTCACCTTTGTATTCCTGGAAACAATTAACCAACATAACTTCTAGAGCTAACAAACAGAAATAGTCATGACAGCACCTCCAGAAGCAAGGCTTTACACACAGTGGCGAGATATCCGGCCAGACTTACCTTCATCAAACCTGACGGGCTTGTAGAGGATCTTGTAACCCTGAAGGATGCCATGCAGTGTGTAGAGAGGGGGTGGGGACCATGCCACCCTGATGGTCTGGGCCCCCAGAGCACTTGCCTGTACCCCTTGGGGAGGCTGACTTGGAACTGAAATACAAACCCAAAATATATACAACTGTCTGTCAACATGATATTACCAGACTGAATACCTACTCAGGCATTTCTACCCATAATCTATTTTAAGACTCTTACTCAGCCACTTGTTCTTAATGGTTTTCCTCAGTCTACTTCCACAGTGGGTCCAGTGCCATTATTATGAGATCAGTTCTTACACTGAGCTTTCATCCATAAATATCTTACAATCAATTTACCAAAATTCTTATATAATCCCAGTTCCTGGTTACTGATACGACATGATCTAGCGCCATCCTACATCAGTGAGCTTAACCCCCCATAACAACTCCAGGTGACAAGAATACCACAAATATTGGAGATAGCACCAACAAAAAGAAAGACCTATAGTGACAGATCATTTTCCAAAGCAAGATTAATATTGTGGAACAATCTCCCAAACAACATCCAAAACATCTGTGAACTCGACCATTTCAAGCGAACGCTAAGACTACACCTTCTTGAGACCTTTCAGCAATTTGTTGCCATATATACTAATTGTATAGTCTATCATCAAGGTGTCTCGTCTCACCATCTTCCAGCGTGAAGACTTGGATGTCGGCAGACTGGGGACTGATTCCCTTGCTGTTGTATGCCTTGATGTGGATCGTGTACTCAGTGAACTTTTTCAGGTTGTGTATGGTATGCTCTGACGACTCAGACTCCTCGACCTTGACCTTCTTGGTGATGTACAGGAAGTGGGTGGGGCTGTTGGTCTCCTTGTAGCCGATGTAGTAGCCCTGGATCTTGCCGTTCTTCATCCCCAGAGATGGAGACTGTCGAGAGATGAAGAAATATTGGTGTTTGTCAGCATGTAAGTGAATGAACATTGTTCAGTGCAGAGCTACAGATAACTTTTTTGGGTCATTGAGTTATGTACTCGCTTGTGTTGATCTCAATGGGGTATCCTACTTTTCTTTTGAGTATGCAAATACATTGTACTCACCTCACTCAAACTCAATTGGGTATTTTGCCATTTTCCATTAATTTTTTTAATATAATAAAGTTTAAATGTTAGTCAAACTAACATTTGACATTTTTGTGTGTACGCATGTAAGATCACATTTATTGAGTATTTACAAAAATTCAAGCGTACTTGTACGCAATAGACTTAATAGGAATTGAGTTTTCACAAAAATATTTGCGTAATTCACGCAGATACGCAGCTTATCTGTACCTCTGTCAGTGTCATCCATTTTTGTGATGAATCTTCTTTACAGTCCATTTGATTTCATTTGAGGCGGTTGAATTGCTCACTAACACAAAATCTAATAATTGCAACAGCACTAAATTTGGCACAGTCGCATGAAATCGACAGACCAACTCTGATGATTTGTTTCATAATCTTGGACACCCGAATAAAAAAGTTGTTTAACAAACAATCATTATTTTGTTGTCACTTTTGGCTATTTTGTATATTGGGGGGACCACTAGCTGGTAGAACAGCTGGTAGAACAGCTAGGTGTGAAATTGAAATTTCACTGCCCACGCTTGTTGATTGCCTGGCTGTTCTACCATGAAATAGTCCCCCTTTGTACAAAATAGTGAAAAGTGACAACAAAATAACTTTTTTATTCTGCTGTGCAAAATTTTAGGACAAATCATCAGAGTTGGTCTGTCAATTTCATGTAACTATGCAAAATTTGGTTTTGTTGCTAGTGAGCAATTCATTGGTCTCAAATGAAATCAAAAACAGACTGTAGTTCACATTGATTTGGCCTATAACATATACTGAATGTTGTAAACAAAGCTAAGTGAAAATGCCAAAACTCATTGTGTGTGGAAAAATCTACAAGAACATTTAGTACTCAGAAATATGTCAAACGTTATGGTCAGTTGTAAAAACAGTTTAGTTCAAGAGGATACATATACTTATTTATTCAAATATGCAAATGCTCCCCAGTGGAAATGTGTCAGTACGACATTACTTACATCCCATGTGACCTTAAGAGCCTGTGAACCTATGGCCTTGACAACAACTTCTTCTGGTGGGCCCGTTGGTGCTGGAAATAAAAACATTTTGAGTGAGTTTTAGTTTAAGGACTATCTATGATTCCAAACAATGTGTCCTTGGCAGGTTGACCGAATACAAACTCATGATTTCATTCAAAATTGGTATTTATTAAAGTGGTTGATACCTTAAGTTCAGAGTTGCATTACACAAAGCTGTAACTAACTTAACTTGGAGTGTGAAATTATTTGCCGCAAAAATGGGGGCCAATGGGGCTATGTAAATACATACTTCTTGATTGAATTTCAAGACAAGTCTAAATCTGCTCAAATTCCCTTATTTTTATGAGTCTTGAACCTTTCCATTTACTTCCTTCTACTTCTGATACTCAACGTTTCTAACAAAATACATCACTCTTATTTCACTTCTTCAGAATGTATTATTTAGCTCTAATGTCATTAAGTGTCCTTGACTGTTTACTAGCCAACTGACCTTCCTCCTCTGTTGTGGTAGAAAGGACCTCGCTGGGGCGACTGTAGCCGATGGAGTTGTTGGCAAGGACACGGATGTCGTAGGTGAAGGCTGGGTGAAGGTCACTCAAGGTGACATGTAGCTGGGCAGCAGGGACGCTCACATTAGCAAGAACTCCCTGCCATACATCTGGAGGGGACAGAACAGAACTATGTCTCACATGATTCACACATAATGACCCTGAAAACACATTCATACATACTCCTTTATCATCATCATCTCATTTATATTGATTAGAAAGATGCATTTCATCAATCAAGTCAATAGTTCCAGTTGAAGAATTATGAAAGGTGATGAGAAAACATGCAACAATATTTTCTAAAGTGCCAATCACAGAAATATCTTTGACACCAATCAAAAGAATGTCGGTGTAGATGAAGCCTACCTGACTGGTTCTTGAACTGAATGATGTAGGCTGTGAGTGGACTATTCCCATCAAATGGCTTCACCCAGGTCAAGGTGATGGTTCTACTGGTGACGTTCAAGACATCGGGGTTCAGTGGGGGTTCTGGCGGCTCTGATACAGACAGATGTAATTGTTATTGTATAGTTAGCCAACAACCAGGATGTTATTGGTTATATTTGTCATGAATAAAATTGATCACAATAATAACAAGGAGCTACAAGCTCATCGACATGTTGTAAGCCCAGACTTGGTGAAATATTTTCACTTGAGAGTGTATAACTCAGTTTCTAGCAATATTCAGTCAACATCACCATTGCGCCACCAAAAACCTGCTTCACTCATTGTACCAATGTTGGCAAAAAGCAGGAGCCTTTGGCACAATAAGCAAATACTAAGTCTCTACCTTACAACACTATTCTTTCTACAAAGTCAAAACTAAGGAGACATCTGATTTGATTACAGAACATATCTAAACCACACAGAAGAACCATAGAGTTTTCTCTTGTCAGTGAAATTAACATTTTAGCAGAAACATTTTACGAACTTTTCTGCTGGCCATCTCTTTATTTAACATCAAAATGGTGTTCTATGTAATAATCAAGAAGCTGATGTCTATAAAGTGTTATGCTTTGTTATAGACCCAGTCATGATATATATACATGCCTGATATCAGTAAAACTAGTAAGATATACATCATGATACAAGTTGTACCACTACACAATAGTCAGTAAGCTGTGTTACCATTGACGATGAGCCTGATCATGAGCGAGTCATGGTCGAACTTGTTCTTGGCATTGCAGATGTAGATACCAGAGTCATTTCTGATGGCAGGCTGCAGACTCAGCTGGGACAAGCGACCTCGCTGTGTGTTGTGGGTGATCACCTTCGCTCTGCAGAGTTAATTAGCATCCTTATTCCACACACAAAATATCTCTACTTGTAACTAACAAGAAATAACCAGGGCCCATTTTCAGCCATGTGACTTGAGTAATTTAATATATGAGGCATACCATTAAAAGTCATTCTAGATGTTGTGAGACATCTTTGAAGGGCCTTTAGAAATGGAATGCACGAGAAGAGCAAGATTTATGGATGTCAACTTCTTTATTGTGTATAACACAACGTTTCGGAGTGTATGCATGCTCACCTGAAGAAGGATCAAGCATAACTCTGTAACGTCGTGATATTCACAATAAAGAAGTTGACATCCACAATCTTGCTTTTCTTCTGTTGTGAGACATGTTTAAATTATTGCTATGATATCGCATAATGTATAAATACAATGTCATCAGTATATTTCATCTTCAGGTGGCAAAAGAGGCCGTATCCTGATCACCTAAATTCAAGTGATAAAAGTTCACATCAACAAGCATCTGTGTACCTGCTGTTGCTGAGGACACTGGAAGAGGAACCAAGGGTGCTCCAACTGATGGACAGAGGCTTGTCGCCGATGCCCTGGCATTCCATGGTGATGTTGCGGCCGCGCAGGACGGTGTAGTTCTTTGCTGGTTCATCAAACCTTGCAGGGACTGAAAGTATCAGAACCAACTCCTTGTTTACACAACACAGAAATGTCATAATTCAGAGGATTAAGTGCTGGCTCATGTAAGTCAATATTGCTGCTGTGTTCTAAATTATGGTCACACTCAAATAACCAATTTCATGCTATATATTTTCTGTATTTCATCTATTAGATATAAGGAGAGAAGTAACTTTAGAACTTTGTTTTCTTGCATCTCATTTTTTTTTAAAGTTTTAATTTTCTAAGAGTGTAACAGCATCTGTTGAATAACAATGTACCATAATCTAATCATCACAAGTGGAAAAACATCAAGTACATAGCTAGCTCACAAAATTTGTTTGAATACTTGAGGTCAGTTGTATATTCAGATTGTTTTGTTTTTTCGTTTTTTGTTTTCCAAATTTTTCTTTTGACATAATACTATGTGAAACACACAACATAATATGGCTGGCTAAATGTAGTATCACGAAACATGTGTACATACTGTGGACAGTGAGAAAGACAACTTTGCTAAGGCCATATCCGATGCCATTGCTGGAATGGCAGAGATAGTAGCCATGGTCATTTTCTTGAGCGTGCCTGATGACCAGTGTGCCGTTAGCCAGTAGAGACAGGTGGTTGTTGTCCTTGTCAAACTCCAGGGTCTGGTAGTCCCCAGGGGAGGAACCTGCAAGCAGACACAACAGTAGTAACTGACAGTCAGTACTAGATCACAAGCTATATATAGGCAAGGAAAACTCGTTCTGAACAATGAATCACTTTACAGTATTAACACATAATAATTTCTTAGAGTGAGAAAGTTTTACGCCGCTTTTAGCAATATTCCAGCATCATCGCGGCGGGGAACACCAGAAAAGTGCTTCACACATTGTACCCATGTGGGGAATCGAACCCGGGTATTCAGCATGACGAGCGAACACTTTAACCACTAGGCTACCCCCACCTCCCCTTATTTTCTTAGAGCTCACCCACAGTGACAGAACAATGAATCAAGAAAACATTTACCAAACAAACCATAACAAATACAAACAAAGTCTAACATCTGGTCAATAACATTATCAGCCTTGAAAATGAGGCTAATGGACATGTGGGTTTTTGTTTTAAACAAAGTCCAAGTTTGACTTTCTAATTTGGTAATGACGAGTATTTTGAGGCAAGGCATGTAATAGTCGTCACAGGTTAATGGTTTGGTTTTACACTGGCCACTACAGCTTACCTATAGCTTTCCTCCACGTGACCTCGGGGTCGGGGGTCCCGGCTGTCTGACAGTCCAGCTGCACCGACTGATGTAAGACCACAAAGGAATCATGGGGCTCCACGACCCAACGAGGAGGCACTGAAACACAAACACTGGTGCTTAGAACTGACAGATTAGAACAGCAAGTTCCACAGTTTGGTATAACTGACATTGTTGGATTCCTATTGTTATGACACTGAAATCACCTGGAAAGTTCTTGTTGGTTCCAAACCATCACTTGCGCGTTAGTTAAAGTCTGATGATGTGTACTATATCATGTATACAAAAATACAACACTCCTACCTCAACTACTGATACACATTCCAATACTTCAGTCATGGAACAATACATATTGGGGCTTTGTACTGGCTAAAACATACTGCAAAACAGGTGTCTGTATTGCAATACAAATTGCAGTATGTTAGGATATAACGTGTTTGACAGTGATTGAAACATATCATACATGCAGATTCTATTTTCTGCATACTGAAGTAAATAATAATATTCCTCAGCATTGTTGCTGGCATTACGTCGTCCAGGATACAGGGCAGATGATAGCATGAGCGATTAAGTGCTGTCATGCTCCAGACATTTTTAATCATTCTTGAAGGGTTGGACTGATTGAAAATGAATTTCTGTGTAAATTTAAGTAAAAGAAGATAAATTAGTTGTCAAAAGATATTCTTTTATCTGATACACTGGAACATAGAATATACTGCAATACTACTGACTTCCTTTTCAAGCGTCCATCTTTGTTATTGTATCGACTTTCCTATTGTCGTCTTAACTTGCGAATTGTTTTAACTTGAACATAAATAGCTCGGCTTCTCAGCTTTCATTCACCTGATAAAGGAGTAGGAAATGTACAACAGAAGTTTACATCCAAACTTTCACCCATTTTTTTGTATCACTTCTAAATGCCATTCAAAGGCATCTAATGATTAGTCCCACACAACTGTGTATGTCATGTGACCAGAAACAATGAAACGGAACTCTGAACTATACATTGAACCATGGGGAGTCAACTACTCAACATGATGCAGAGCTACACATAACTTTTTGGGTCATGAGTTATGTACTCAATTGTGTTCCTCTCAATTGGGTATCCTAACTTTCCTTTGAGTAACCAAATAAATTGTACTCACCTCACTCAAACTCATTTGGGTATTTTGTCATTTTCCATTAATTGTAAAAACATAATAAAGTTTAAATGTTGGTGTTTGTGATTTACATTTGATCTGTAATATGAGAAACGATAAGAAATACTGCAAGTTGCCAAGTTCAAGTCCTGAAACAGAACCTCTCAAAATACCTGTTATTTTATCTATCCACCGGTACGCAAGCTAAGATTTTACATTTTTGTGTGTACGCATGTAAGATCACATCTATTGAGTATTTGCAAAAATTCAAGCGTACTTGCACGCAATAGCCTTAATAAGAATTGAGTTTTCACATAAATATTTGCGTAATTTACGCAGATACGCAGCTTATCTGTACCTCTGATGATGAGTGTCTGAATACTGACAGCCCATTATATCTATCTGCGGATGACAGTATAACATGCAGAGAACATCCTATAGTGCAGTAGTCACACTGTCTATACTGAATGTCACTGCTTGCAGCAAAGTTATCTGTGAATGTTATGTAAGGTCATGTCTCACCATCAACATGTAAGGGAGCAGTGAAGTTAGTAGACGCTGCTGCATTGCTTGCATAGCAGGTGTAGTTGCCGTCGTGCATGGGGCTGGCGTCACCAATAGATAACAAACTTGAGTAGGATCCAGCTTTCTGGAAAGTAAACATCAGTATATATTCTTCTGAACCACAAATATAATTCTGTGAAAACATTATCAATTAATATTTTAAGTCCTTAAGGATTGTGTTTAGAAATTAGTTGAAGTTAAAAGAAAACATGCAAGTTTTATAAAATCTATATTGTACACTTTTTTCTGTTGGTTTGGGATTATAGGTTCAAGGTCTAATGTCTTATTTTGAAGCACTAGTATAATCTTTCATGCACTTTTCTTAACAGAGGACAAGAAACAAGACAGGGCAAATGTCATTTTGTAACTTGTTCAAAGTATTGACAAGAAACCAATTATTTAGTTTACTGTCTGCCAATGAAACCAGGCATACCTGTATTTTCACGCCGAGGTCGTGTGGGATTTCGGCCCCATCCTTCTCCCAGTGGATGGAGATAGGCAGGTCCCCGCTGCTGACCACACAGGACAGGATCACTCGGTCACCCTGTTTCCTCTTGGCAAAGTCAAAGGGGTCAATACGAGGAGGTTCTGAAAAACACAAACATTCTGGTGTTTGGCCAGCTCTTGTGGTTTCAATGTAGACGCAATAAGAAATATGTATGTTTATGAATTATGATGTTTGGAGCCCATTTCTGGTGACTCCTGCCAAGGTATCAATATAATATTGCTAAAAGTAGCTCAGCACCATACTACTTCACTCATTATCAGTGTGCGAAATAGTTTCCAAATTTTGCTACCCAGTGCGGGCTAGCTATGCCTGAAAGTTACTAGCCACAACATTATTCACAAGCCCGAAATCTGAATGTAGAAACTAAGCAAAAGATTGCAAAAATACATGAGAATAAGATATTGTCAGCATGACACGGGTTTCATCATTAAGCTGCTAACATGATGAACATTTTGTATCAGGCCATAATCTTGCATAAATTGTGTATTATGATGTAACAAGTCGGAGTGATATATTTACAAAATGAACCCATGAAAATTCACTAGCCAGTTGGGCCAGTGACTGGGGAGATATACTGGCCCAACTGGATTTTTACTAGCCATGGGCTTGCAGGCCAGTGGCTATTTCAAACACTGCTTATTATCAATGAATTCCCTCATTAAAATGACAGTGAAGTAACATAGCATAACATTCGTAGATTTACTCAACTATCAATACAAAATTCACTGGCCACCAGCACCACTGCATAACTTATCATTTAGTGGTCCCGATGATTTTTTACTAGCCAGGAACCACAGGACCAGCGTAAATTTCGCACACTGTACCAGTTGACAAGACTCATATAAAAATGTGGCCTTGTCATATTAGGAGCTTTAAATTCAAGGGATTTGAAAAAACAATAGTGGCAATCCCATACACAGTTAACGGGCGATTAAAGAACTATTTTTCAGATGTTTCTCTGTATTGCCACCACAAACAATGCATGTCAAATGATGGGACTCAAATCTGAGCAGTCTTAAAGGTACGTTGGTTTTATGCTGTTAAAGTAATATTTGAACAATATATTTGCCAGTGCCTTACACCACTAGGCATTAAGTGTACACCAGCTTGCTCTGCAGTCTGGAAGTTGCATATAATTCTACCCTAGACGGAGTGACACTTACCTACAACCGAGACAAACACATCACGAGTGTCCCGCTGTCCCTCCCTGTTCTGGGCCGTGCAGGTGTATTTCCCTACATCGTGGAGCTTCTGAACTTTCTCAATGATGAGCGTGCCGTTCACAACTTTCTGCCAATGGTTGATGGGGAGCATGTCGTGGCCTACAATCAGAAACATACGAGTTCGATCATGTCTACTTATCTGGTACATTGTGTAAGTCGTTCATCATCAGTTTAACCACCATGACAATGACAGCTGGGTACTTTCAAAGAAAATAGGTTCCATGGTGACACCCCACCAACATTCAAATCCCCCACCCCACCCCCACCCCGTAACTTATACGTGAACATCAGGTTTTCCTCACGTAGATGTCTTAAGACCCCACTCGATACAACTGTAAAATCTCACCTTTTGACCATGTTATTTTGCTGATTGGATACCCAGAAACGTAACATCGAATTGATAACTTTTCGTTCGCTGTGGCTGTGACATTCTTCATCGGTCTGATATATGGTGTGCCTGAAATACCAACAATTATCAGCATTCGAGTCACTTGAAGCTCAATTTTGAAACAAGCGCTAAAATGGAGTTACCTCCCTTACAACGTTTTTCGCCGGTCTGCTGCAAGGCGATCACCTATCACCAAATCAATGCCCGATGGAACAGTGTATAAATTAGAGACACCTTTGAGAAATTGTTAATTATTTCACCAAAAGCGATATCATTACTGCTTGGTAGCACGTGGGATAATACAGCATTTATATTTTTGGACTTCAACTACCGAATTCAGCGTTAATTAATTCTGTATGACGAAGGCTAGCTTGGGAGAAAAACTATAAGAGCATGCGTGACCGAGGGGGAAATGTTCACCACATGGGTTGCCCTGGGTTAAGTAATGTTTAAGAAAGGAAATCAAACCCCGACACAAACAATAAATTCTCTGAAATACCATTTATCAAACATTTTTAAATCAGAATTTTAGCTCATGTGGTACAAGTTAATATATTTTCTTAAAATCAAAACATTCTTATCTAGGCAAGACGCAGTCATCCTCATCTGGACCTACTGTATCCCTTATTCCAGATCTTTTAATATACACATGAATCTGAATTGCTGGGATTGGCAAAGTTAAAATAAGCTTTCAATAAGGTGATTCGGTCAGGACGTTTCAGGTGTATCGATTACCTGATGCAGTGCTACAACTATCTGATAGCCAGTTCTCATCGACTAGTTTATACACCCAGTAGATATAAAAGACCAGCTAGAGCATCATATTTTGCTGAAATATTAAGAATGACTAAAGGCATGACTTAAACTTTCCAGCAGTCAACTTCAATTTCTAGAAGTAAAATGTCCCTCTATTTTCTGGCAATATTCCGACAGCTCCAGTCGGCAGCGTTTACCTTTCATAACCTTTGAGGTACAACCGCGCATGCTCTGGCCACCAAGTTTTCAATAGATTTTACAACTGTTGCTTAGACGATTGTGATCAAGGTTACAAAATTTAAGGCCCCAGAAAAGCTTTCAAAATGATAGACAGGTGGAGTGCATTTCCAAATTTGACGTGCATTGACAAAATGATGGAATTCCCTAGGTAGACTTGTCTCTTCAAGCGGACATTTGATGTGCCTTTGCATGTGTTTGTGACGGGTGCTAACGGTGGGGTAGGACAGGCTTACCTTTTCGCGAACATTTGGAATCATCACTATTGGCTACTGAATGCTTATAATACAGTCGTAATGGCACAATGGACTCTGCTGTTTCAGAGATTTCTCAGTGACATGGCAAATGGTTTAAATCTATATGCATATAAATTGCTATTGTTCCAACGCACCGTATACGTTGAGTTTCCCAATGTGATAAGCTCTGCCGACGTCGTTTAAGGCTTTACAGGTGTATTCCCCTCCGTCTTCCACTTTAACACTCGTGATGTTTACGAAACTGATGACGTCACCCTCATATGTCGTGAAACTGTTGGTACCAATTCGGTCTCCTGTCGGCAGCTCCGCGCCATCTAGCAGCCACGTGACCACCGGGATTGGGTTCCCAGAGGCTTTGCACCTGAGGGAGACTCGCGTTCCGCTCTGGACGAACTGTTCTTGTAGAGCGTCCAGAATGGCAGGTTTGGCAGCTGTAACGGAGGAACGCGTGGGCATTATAACATTTCATATTTCATATATTACTGCTCCTGCTTTAACTGTAATTATATAAGTCCAGCACTTCTATCGCTAATACTGACACTACCAGAGAACTAAAAATACCATTCTTACAAATGTTTACTTCTACAACTTCCCAGTTCTTGATTCTTAGAGACCGTTCATAATTGATGGCTGGTTGGGGTGGGGCTGGTGTGATGATGATTTTTATGGGGAAGCATGTACAATATGAATGACACCCCCCTCTTAACTTTACGTACATAGTAAGTGACCCCTTCCACCCCACCCCCCACCTCATGTACAAAATCAATGTCCCCACACCCCCACCCCTTCCCGTAATTTTAAGCATGATATTTTGGTATCCTTATGTACAAAATTGTTGAACACCTCTGCCTTCCCAAAACAAAATAGGTGACCCCCTTAAAATCATCATCACGCCCCTAGCCATAAATTATGAACGGTCCCTTATCTTACTTGAGCTACTACTAATTATATACACTACTGCTGCTGCTGCTGCTGCTACTACTACTACTACTACTACTGCTACTACTACTACTACTACTGCTACTACTACTACTACTACTACTACTACTACTACTTTGTTTCTTGGCCAGAAACATCCAACCGTTTTTTTTCTCTTTTTTCTATTTTTTTCTGTAGCCTCTACAACATGAGTGAGTGTCTAACTAATGTTCACACAGCAGATTAATCAGTTAATGTGTCACAACACAGCACACCATGTCTGGATCTTGTTGGCTGCATGTCCCGTTCACCCTCGACACACTGATCCTAACCAGACACGTACATTCATTATGAATGAGCCTTCGACAACGCACTTTACCTGTCGCCAGTCAGGCTGCCCCTTTTGCTCATTCCGTTGAAATGTTGAAACCCAAGGAGGCAATTTAACCATTACGTCCCTTAAAATAAAACAGTTGAACGCTGCATATCAAACAGCTTACACTAACGTATGCATCAGCATGGCCGTGCATCCTGTTTATTTCCCACATGCCTTATTAAGCTCGAAAAAGGCGAATGATGCATTAATGGTGGACAGAAAGCATCACCCTGGGGTACCCCGTTTTGCGTTGTGGCCGCGTTGTATTAAGGCCTCGCAATAACCACGAGAGAGTGGAAGCGAACACTGGATTCATGTAATTAATTTGGAGGAAGGGTGGGTGAATTACCACAGACATTTGTTTCCATTAGGACATCAGTTGCAATTTATCAGCGATACACAGGAACAAAACGCTCCATGAATATCGCAAAGAAGTGGCGGTCTGATAATCCACTCCATTCCAACAGACTAGTAAGCATCAGGTTTTTGACGCCTAGGATGAAATTTCAATTTTTAAAGGTGAAATTAAACGTCACTGGAAGACGGATGAGACTGGGAAATTATTCAAAACTTGACAAAAGCGATCATGGTTAACAGAAATACAAGGAATGGAAGGGGAAATTGATTTGCCAGAACGTGAAGATGCATGGTTCCCCTGCAGACTGACACAGCAGATTGTTCTCTAATGATTTATTGAGTAAATCAAATTGCTTTGAAACAAAGTATCATTTATGGATGACTTTCGGACCATGGTACAACCGGGACACCCCTGTGTCGAGGCCTGTGACCATGTCGGGTACTAAATCTAGTAGATCAAGGTTGTGCCCTCTCACAATGCCATTTTCGGTGAGGAGTAGTAACTTTGTCTGTACCATCGTTGTAACGGGTACATTAAGAAGTACTAGGGACTAGAGATAAACTGAAATACTTTTTCAAAACATAACTAGTTACAGAAAACAGTAAAAAAAATACATTTTGCCAACAGAATAGCATTGTTCGGCTCCTGATACTGAACTTGTAGCAGTGATGGAACAAACCTGCAAGGACTGCTACATTTTGCATCATACCAATCTGGCACATTAAATAAAAAAAGTGGATGGATGCAAATCGGCCCAAGGTTTTTATCATAACAAACCTAATATACATTAGACTGGATAATCGAGGGTCTCTTTATCAAATTCAAATTTTCAAAAGTGGACAGCTTTTATACAGTCTAAAAACCCAAACATTCAAAAGTATTTGTTAAATGATGATCGGTTATGTATGTAGTTATCCTCTACAAACGTTACCTCCAAGTTGTAACTGTGCCACACCCTGTGCCTTTGATTTGTCATTGGACACAAAACATTGGTACATCCCTTGATCCTGTCTCCTGACGTCCTCTATTCTCAACAAAGTTTCTGATTGGACGGAAATTCTTGGTGTCAAAAGGAGCAGGTAGCCGTTCTTGTACCAACTTATTGTGTCGACAGGGTGACCAAACACCGAACAGTTGAATTCTGCCGTTTTGCCAGCGTCCACTGTCTGTTCCTGGGGCACGATGTGCACGGAGAGTGAAGCTGAAACACAAACAGGACACTGTACTTCATTTCTACACCAATTCAATAATACACGTTTCACGTTTTGCTTGAACGAGAAGAGTGAGTGAGTGACTTTGCTGAATTTATGTATAACAATCTCTACTCATGACTGTAGATATTCAGTAAGTGTCTTAAAATGTCTGTTCTACTCATGACTGTAGACATTCAGTAAGTGTCTTAGAATGTCTGTTCTACTCATGACTGTAGGTATTCAGAAAGTGTCTGAGAATGTGTGTTCCACTCATGACTGTAGGTATTCAGTAAGTGTCTGAGAATGTGTGTTCCACTCATGACTGTAGGTATTCAGTAAGTTTCTGAGAATGTGTGTTCCACTCATGACTGTAGGCATTCAGTAAGTGTCTGAGAATGTGTGTTCTACTCATGACTGTAGATATTCAGTAAGTGTCTGAGAATGTCTGTTCCACTCATGACTGTAGGTATTCAGTAAGTGTCTGAGAATGTGTGTCCTGTCTGGCCGAGACATTGTATACATGATATTTAACGTTGCAATGGTAATATTCAACTCAGGTAACGTATCAACATCTACATTATGTGGCACAGAATTACCGTTTCCTCTTTAGGTGATGACATATTTCTTGAAGAATACATTGAGATAATAATAACATGCAACTATACAGAACGTTTTACCGCTGGATAAAACCAGCATGGCATCCAAATATAAACTGAATAATATGATGCGCTTTGAATCGTTATGCAATTCACGCACAAAAATTAGATGAAATTGTCTGTAATTGTAGGCCCTGCATCCGTAATGATACGTCATTGAGACAGGACATTAGAGTTGTGCCGGATTTGTCATTGACAAACTGAGACGAGTCTGTCATTACAAGTTCATTTGTCATGCGCCCGCCTCTGGTCTATGTGATCCTGCCCTGTGATAATCGATTACCGCATGATCAAAATGGCCAGGGAAATGTCATTTGAATGTAACTATTTTTTCACATAAATTACTCATGTCGTACAGTTCTCATTAGAGAACAGATTCCTCCTTCAGTGGCTTGAAATACGAGATGATTACCGCAATGTTCGTCGTATTACGCCTAATGGATTATCAATGATAATAGTGAGGAAATGTGCGTCACAGAATCCGCGAAACTGTCACCTGAATGCTGGATTGGAATACCGATCGCCAACAGTGGACTGGTCATGTCACACAGCGGTAGGTCTACACACGGGAGTTTATCATTAATTTTGACAAACGTTAACATTTGCAAATACTTTCGCTTGAGATCGAAAATGTAACACTTATCCTTGAGGTCGGAAATGTAGTACGAAGAATATCAATATTTCCTTAATAATCCGAAAACAGTGTATATAACCCCATTTTTTTTAAGTTGCACAGAAGGAACAGGTTTATAAAAGTGCAAACAAGAAATAAAAAGTGTGAACACTGCCCTTGCTCTATGACTTACAATTAATCTTGTTTACTTCAATTCAAGATCGATTAGAAGCGACCGAAAGTGGCATACCGATAACATCGAGTGTTTGATCCAATGAGTTTTCATGTAAGAAGATAATCTTTTTATTGCTATGTACATATCGGTTTGTGATCAATGAATTTTCACCAGAGGTGACGAATGTTGGAAATTCCCGGAATAAATCGCACGCGTTCGTAACTAACCGCGTCATACCAGGTGAAGATATCAAACAATGTGAGTGAGTGGGTTTAGTTTTACGCCGCACACAGCAATTTTCCAGCTATATAGCGGGGGTCTGTAAATAATCGAGTCTGGACCAGACAATCCAGTGATCAACAGCATGATCATTGATCTGCGCAATTGGGAACCGATGACATGTGTCAATCAAGTCAGCGAGCCTGACCACCCGATCCCGTTAGTCGCCTCTTACGACAAGCATGGGTTACTGAAGATCAATATTCTAACCCGGATCTTCACGGGTCTCAAACAATGTGAGTGATTGGCCTTTCGTCACGCAGTCGTGTAAATTTGTGACGACTTTCATAGAAACATACGACAAGAAAACATACAAATATCCAACATCCTGTTATCAGCTTTCGTCATCCCGAGATTTTTCCAAAATGGAAACAAATATATCGGCGGTGACGAACGAGTGTATAAGATTCACTTCAGCCGTGACACACGGCATCATTCCGCGATAGGTGCAATGGGGTAGCCTAATGGTTAAAGCGTCCGCTCTTCACCGGGTTCGATTCCCCACATGAGTACAATGTATACTACTAAAAGCGGCGTAAAACCGTACTCATTCATTCCACGATAAGCCGTATATAGGTCTGATTTGAAGACATTTTGCTTCATCTAAACCAAATAATGACAATTCAGTTCATGTTATTCACATTGGGGCCAATCTTAAGCTGGCAAAACAACTCACATGTAACAACAAGCTTTGTATTTTCCTTGGCTTCTCCTCGGCTGTTGGAGGCCGAACAGGAGTAGAGACCGCTGTCGCTGATGGTACTGTTGATAATTTTCAAATTGCCGCCACGTTGCTGGATGCGCACGTCGTTAATGACGACATCTAACCCATCACGTGACCACCTGTATGTAGGGGAGGGGTTTCCCTGGCTGCTGACGCAGGGTAGTTCCACAGTGTCCCCCTCTGTGATGGCGAGGTCGGGTAAGATGTCGTCGATAGTCGGGGAAATCTGGGTAGCAGGAGGATCTGGAATGTACATCACACAAGCCATTAACATACGGTTGATGTATTTCAAAGATACATCCTGGCCTCACACACATTCAACACTGAGTGAAACTATTTCCCTGACAAATCCTGTTCACACATTTCCATGCTATGTCACAGTGTACGAAATAGTTTCCAAATTGTGCTACCCAGTCGGGCTAGCTATGCCTGAAAGTTACTAGCCCACAAAATAATTCACTAGCCCTAATTTTGAATGTAGAAACTAAGCAAAAGATCACAAAAATAGATGAGAAGAAGATATTGTCGGCATGACACAGGTTTCATCATTTGACTGCTAATATGATGAACATTTTTATCAGGCCATAATCTTGCATGAATTAAAGGTGTATTACAATTAATAACTTAACAAGTCGGAGAGAGTGATTTATTTGCAAAATGACCACATGAAAATTCACTCGCCAGTCGGGCCAGCGACTGTGGAGATTTACTGGCCCGACTGGATTTTTACTAGCCTCGGTCAGTGGGCATTTCGCACACTGGGCTATATCGTATGTCCTAATCACAATTGTTTTTGCTTGTTTCTTTCTCTCCAGATGATGTGTCGTCACGAACTTCCATCACAAAGTTGATACAAGTCCAAGTACAACGCTCCTAAGTACCCCAGTTATACACAGAGGGTGCCACACTACTGTACAGCGGTACAGAATACGGCGCTGAAAATAGTTCCAACTATCAGAGGTGATGGAGAGTAATTGTCCTTTATCGTGACACCTATGTGAAATAGTGATCGTAAAATGAATTCTTGTTGTGTGACAAAAGAGGTTCATCTTAAATACCTTACTTTGACGGTGTACATGTTGACAATTGGCACTATTTTTTCTGATTAATGCTACATTTTCACATGGCGACAGACTATACACGAATTAACTGAATAGAATCTAACAAACCCAAAAGAATGATATATTTCCCTCAGTTCTGAATGAGATGGATCTGAGGGCTGGTGTGTTTTGAAGCCGCAACGACTGGGAAACCACACATATCTGTCATGAATATTCATATTCAAGAATACCGCGAGCAGGTACAGACTTGACCATAGAAAAACGTATTTGCGCTACGCGTTCGAATGTTCAATGCCACAAATGTATTGATTGCTTAGCCATGCTTCCAAAACATTTTCCGATAGAAAAAAGAACAAACAATACAATAGTTTTGGGTTTTTTGTTCTGGAAACCAGATAGTACGCAGAAAAAATTCCATTTCTATAAAAACAAAAGCCAATACGTCAATTTATATGGAAGGAAAAGTGATTAATCTCTGATTCAGTTCTGCTGGAAGGCAACGTCACTTTTGTGACTGACGGGGAAAAGACTCTCAATGTCAAAAGTAATAGTTGTGACATTTCATTTGGCAGTTGAAATCATTTGCTTCCCCACTCGCTCGCAATTATGACACCGAAGCGGCACGAGACGAGCTTACCCGCCCACAACAGTTACCCCCCTTGCAAGACCTGCCATGAGCTCGATGCTTGTCGGTAATACAACGAGAAGCCTGGGCAAGGATATTAAAAAAGGAACACGTAGAACAATTAAAAAGAGTGAGATAGCTGAGGGGAACTATGTCAGTGTAGAAGTGCCCCCAAGAAGTCATTTAGGTGAAAGTGTGACAGTTATGGTGTTAGGTTCCTAACCGGAAGTTGATAAGAGCTGCTTCAGGGACTGTTCACAAACACTTGGAGCGACCATGTCATATTTTTGTGAAGACCTGTCTGATAGCGTCCATGTAATTATCAGTGCTCCCTGATTGGATTCGGTTCTCGTGAGTGGCAGTGTCACACGCTGTATAGCATATTGAAATTGTTTCCTTTGGTAAATACTATGCTATACACCACCTGAATATCTTTGGGAAACATGTAAAATTGCCTTCCTTGATGTGTTGCTTAAACGAGTACCATCAGGAAACATGGTGATATTGTTTTCGTTGAAACATACTATAGCATTCTTGTACTGTCTGTCATTTGGGAACGTAATGAGAATTCTACAAACTCTGACATTTTTGTACTGTGGAACGCTGAGAAATTATATTGAAATACTATGCCATTATTCAACTGAATGTCAGTGAGAAACATCTTGCATGGGTTCCTTTGATAAATACTATGATTTTCTTGAACTTAATATCACTGGTAATACTTTGTCCTTCTAATACAGTTTTACGAGCTATATTAACTGTTGATCAACGTTTTATGATACCATCAATTCAGTAATAAATGTATCGGAATATCTAGGAAGATCTAGATCTTGTCCAAGTATCCTTAAACAGTGTGCGATGCTGTTGGCCGACATCGTCAGGGACATCTACATCTCTGAACTACATCAGCCTCGTCGTTGATTAGAAAACTATTATATTTATACACTGATGTTCGTGTTAAATATTTTGAGAGAATGACATCACAGTAGTGTCTTGTAGAAATGTACAAATATATGGTCACCATTAAACATTGTGTGGGGGTGGAGGGTAATATTTTAATAACAATTATGCCCAATGATGTTACTGACACATAAAACATGACTCGTCCTTAACACTTCAGAGTCTGTCATAATTACGGCCTCCTAACTGTCAACCTACAGCGAGGACTCATATGTAGCACATTTGGGATTACACCTTCTCAGTAAATTACAAATTCTAGTACTTTTATTGGGTTGAGTAGCATCTGAGAAAGTTAAATCTCAAATTTTACGTGTTACATTTGACCGCTGAGGGGTACTCAAAGTCCGTGGTCAAGACTGTCCAACTTCTATTGTTTGTGGAAGCCGCGGTAGATGAGCGGGTTAGGCGACTGACTTTGTGTGCTGGCGATTAGGTGCCTGGTTCTGAGGGTGTGGGTTCGAATCCCGGATGGAACCTAATTAATTCACTAGAATCTGCACTAGAAAGTGTCATCCCAAATATAGCATGTGTTACATTTGACCACTTTCTAAATGGCATTGTGTATTCACGACTCATCTGTAGTCAGTCCTAGCCAGATATATGTTCTTCACACATCGCTAAGTGCTACTCTTTCTTGTTGGCCTTCTGCAAATGTCGTATTATCAAATTATGAAACAATCAGATATATCTGCGTTTGTAGCAGTTATTAGCGTCTTACTAACATGGTGTGTTGTCATCAGTTGCAAACAAACAGTTGTGGATATGAACCAAGTCCTGTTCTTATTCACATGAACACATCTGATATTTTTCACAAAGATTGACAAATAATGCTGCTTAATTACATTCACACAAGACACTCAGTACAAGACCTAGACCCTAATGTCCACAGCCCCTCTGAGGACGTGGATAAAGCAACAGTCGTCGTGCTGGTGCGGATTTCTGACCTGGGCCCTATGTTCTCACCGTGGACTTTCAAATATGCAAAGGAACTCATTTTCTCCTCGCCGGTGAGGATATTGCGTGTGTGGCATTGGTACGTCGACATGCCGTCAGTGTCCCTGACGTCCCGTAGATGAAGCCTGCCGTCTGGGAGGATGCTCACGCGGCCGCCTGCCAACGTAAAACAATATCAATGGTGGATGAATAGTGTATTATATAATCTGGAAAAAGAAGGGAAAAAATACACAGACCCCCCCCAAAAAAACCCCAAAAACAAAACCCAAACAAACAAAAAACAAAATTAAATAAATAAAAACTCGAAAAACAGGAACTTCGTTATTAAATTGGATTTTTAATAACATTTCTGTCTTCCTGTTTTTTCATCTTCGTGTTAAATTTTAGAATTCTGACGAGATGACAAAATTACCATTTCGAGAAGATACGTTTCAAGTAATTACCTGTAAGCTTTAAAACATTTTGAAATATGTTTGCACATAATTGCTTGTATCATTAAAACGATTAATTCAACACAAGAATTTTAAGTAAAAATATTCACAATTTTATTCTATAGAAAATACCTTCAATATTAGACTTCTTAGATCTATAAAAAGGAAGAATTTAAAGGCTATTTTCTCATTGCTTTAGTAACACGTTTCATAGCAACGGCACGTAGGGGACAACAATACCTCAATAAGCCAATGCCCCTTTAGATATTTGATATCACACGCACGTGACAAAATCGCTGCCTCTTCGCACTGATGTCGCTTACCTGGCTGCACGCGCTGCGTCCCCCTGCTCCATCCGATGACGTCGACGTAGTTTTTGAGGTAGTAGGGGTTGATTTCGCAGTGGAGAACAGCTGTGGCTCCCCGCATCACCCATTTATCGTTCAGCTGGACGCCATAATCTCGGTACTTGTTGATGACAACTGAAACATGCACAGCATCCATTTAGACAAACACTCTATACTTCTGTCTGTACAGCGATGCTCAGTGACAAACCTATAGATATTTTTGGAAAAAGGTAAATCACGTACATTCTGACACCAGATCTGTTTAATTTGGGTGTTTTGACACCAGACTGCATTATCTCACCATAAGACAGAATCGTCCACACATGTTTTGTATTTTCAACTTACCACAAGGTGATGAAGATAAGTATTTTGCTAACGATTATGATTATGTGTTCTTAGTAATGAAAATGACCCAGAACATTACTACTCTATAAAAGTACATAACAGAATTGAAAGGGATTGTTTCCTTTATGGGGCTCGAACCCTGATCTTTGTCTAGCGCCGATTCTAAACGGTTCTCCCAAGGATCTTATTGATGATGCGCGGGTCATAGTTCAAAGAAATCATGCATCTATGCTTGTCGCTACAAAATGCAGACGACATTTTATTGAAACTAATATCTGACCCTTTGGGATCAATCACTCGACGATGACGCACAGCCACTATTGAGGAAGTTGTTGCGGTGCCTCCGCTATCGCATTCCCGCTATTTACAATGATGACGACAGTTTGACTTGAAGCTTTTTTCTTAGGCTAATATTTCGACGGAAAACATCGCGAGGGTTAGGTCTCCGTGAATCAATAGTTTCAAGATAGCGTTCGTTGGTCGACAGGATCAGCTTAAAAGCCCCTTCCGTCGTATCTCGCACGTGCTTTAGAACTCAAGGGCGCTCGGCTAGCTCAAGAGCCAATCAATAGCGATGTTACAACGGAATCAACGCTTGTTCACGTGACTTTCCAAATATGGATGGCACCTAATTCATTTATCTCCCTTTGAAAAACGCGTAAATTGGTTGAAATTGTAAATGAAACATTTATAAGCACAGCATCAAAAGTGAGAAAGTGAGCTACATGATAAGTGTGTCAAGATATTATAATTGAATGAAATAGAAATGTTGTTGTGTTTTGAGAAGACAACTGTTTCTTTTAAAAGAAAACTGAACTAAATATCTGGAACCTTTCTTAAGCGAGTCTATTTATACACCGCTTTTAGTAATATTCCCGTCACAACACAACTGGCACTTAGGTTCGGGACCCGTGAAGGTCCAGCTTAGAATATTGATCTTCAGTAACCCATGCTTGTCGTAAGAGGCGACTAACGGGATCGGGTGGTCAGGCTAATTTGCTTGACACATGTCATCGGTTCCCAATTGCGTAGAGTAGATCGATGCTCATGCTGTTGATAACTGGATTATCTGGTCCAGACTCTATTATTTACAGACCCCCACCATATAGCTGGAATATTGCTGAGTGCGGCGTAAAACTAAACTCACTCACTCACTTAGGTTCGGAATCGAACCAGGTTCTTAGGTGTCACGTACCAACGCTTTCAACCCTTACCCGACTTCGTGACATGTTGAAAGTGTAAATCAGCCCATGATTACCATGTAAGGTAAACCATACATGGGACCGGGTGACTATGTTCGCCTCCCATACATGATTACCATGTAAGGTAAACCATACATGGGACCGGGTGACTATGTTCGCCTCCCATACACATTAAACATCGATATCGTTTTCCGACGGCATCGGTAGGTGCTCAAGCTATCACCCACTGGCCCACCAATATAGCATGTACAGCGTACAAAACCCATCCGTTGTACAGCAAACAACTAGTGTCACAATAATAACGATAAACAACTTGTGTAACGGCAGTAAGGATAAACACGTCGTGTCACAACAATAAGGATAAAGACCTTGTGTCACAACAATAAGGATAAAGACCTTGTGTCCCAACAATAACGATAAACACCTTGTGTAACGGCAGTAAGGATAAAGACCTTGTGTCACAACAATAAGGATAAAGACCTTGTGTCCCAACAATAAGGATAAAAAAGACCTTGTGTCACGACAATAAGGATATATACCTTGTGTCACGAAACTAAAGATAAACACCTTGTGTCACGACAATAAGGAAACACTCCTTGTGTCACGACAATAAGGATAAACACATGATATCACGACAATAAGGATAAACACCTTGTGTCACAACAATTAAGATAAACACCTCCTGTCCCAACAATAAGGATAAAGACCTTGTGTCACAACAATAAGGATAAACACCTTGTGTCACGACAATACTGACTGACTGAGTTTGGTTTTACGCTGCTTTTAGCAATATTCCAGCAACATCACAGCGGGGGACACCAGAAATGGGCTTCACACATTGTACCCATGTGGGGATTCGAACCCGGGTCTTCGGCGTGACGAGCCAACGCTTTAACCACTAGGCTACCCCACCGCCCCGTCACGACAATAAGGATAAACACCTTGTGTCACAACAATAAGGATAAAGACCTTGTGTCACAACAATAAGGATAAAGACCTTGTGTCACGACAATAAGGATAAACACCTTGAGTCCCAACAATATGGATGAAGACCTTGTGTCCCAACAATAAGGATAAACATCTTGTGTCACAACAATAAGGATAAAGACCTTGTGTCACGACAATAAGGATAAAGACCGTGTGACCCAACAATAAGGATAAAAACCTTGTGTCACGACAATAAGGATAAAGACCGTGTGACCCAACAATAAGGATAAAGACATTGTGTCACGACAATAAGGAGAAACACCCTTTGTCACGACAATAAGGATAAAGACCTTGTGTCACGACAATAAGGATAAAGACCGTGTGACCCAACAATAAGCATAAAGACCTTGTGTCACGACAATAGGGATAAAGACCTTGTGTCCCAACAATAAGGATAAAGACCTTGTGACCAAACAATAAGGATAAAGACCTTGTGTCCCAACAATAAGGATAAACACCTTGAGTCACGACAATATGGATAAACATCTTGTGTCACGACAATAATGATAAAGACCGTGTGACCCAACAATAAGGATAAAGACATGGTGTCACGACAATAAGGATAAAGACCTTGTGACCCAACCATAAGGATAAAGACCTTGAGTCACGACAATAAGGATAAACATCTTGTGTCACGACAATAAGGATAAACACCTTGAGTCACGACAATAAGGATAAACATCTTGTGTCACGACAATAAGGATAAAGACCTTGTGACCCAACAATAAGGATAAAGACCTTGTGACCCAACAATAAGGATAAAGACCTTGTGTCACAACAATAAGGATAAAGACCTTGTGTCACAACAATAAGGATAACCCTTTTAGTTCATGTCCTTGACTGGAACGTGATAAACACCTAAAATCGTAACATCCATGGTTAGTGAGTCAGTAATTCTTCAGCTGTGCAGCAACCATGTAATTTCATATACTGTGAAAACAAGTTTTACTAAAAGGACAGCAACATGGTTAGCAATTTATCTCAGTTTTAATGAATAAAGACAACTATCCTAGAAGTAAATCCACAGCCCATGTTAAACATCCACAGGTGATCACGCCCTGTGTAACACTCTCGCCCTGAGTGATGAACGTGTTAGAGATGCAAGAGGTGCTACACCCTCTTTAACACCAACAGTGCGTTAAGGATGCTGCTATTCATTTCGATAATCTTTCCATTTTGTACTCCTTCAGATCCTGCCAACAGGAATGCATAACATCTTAATGTCAAATTACAGTCACGAACGTTTGCAGGTTTTACGTCGATTTTTCAAATGGAAATAGAAGTATGAAAGGAGAATAGTTTGTTACATCTTTATCCCCAACAGTTATCTCCCTTTGACGACAACGTTAATCAATCTTGCAATTAATAGACTTACTTTGTGTATTATCCAAGCAAACCCACAGAAATATTTTACCGGAAGCGAATGACGGCCATTACCGGCGCATCCTGCTGCGACTACAAGATAGAGTGGCAGCGATTTCCTCAACAACAATATGTCCTCACTTCCGGTTTAGACTCACGGAGCCGGAAGAGCGATAGATCCGGCGTTTTGATTGGTTGAATAGGAAGAAAACACTCAGGGACTGACAGCGATGTTTTGCAAAGACGGCAAGGCATGCTCAAAGGGAAGCGATCTCTCTGATAACCAGGCAGATTTGTTTATGAATAATTAATCTGGTCATCTTTGGATTTTAAAACATCTTTGAGCCGACGAGATTGGGAAGGTGAATCTGCGGGACTGGCTGACTAGCAGCACGAGGAGAGTCTTCATGGGAGCTAATGCACATGCGACTGTCAGAATCAGTTTGGAAAAAATAACACGGCTTAAACTGGTTCAATATTGTCCATATCCTTCTGTTTGAGTCTTTTTAAGAAATCAATAAGCTTTTATTAAGCACATGGCTGTGTGTGTATATGACCACACAATAATATATACACTAACCCTCCACCGTCCCCCGATAGGAACAATGAAGACAAGCTCGGTAAATATTGGACCGGATAACGTCTCTATGAATCACGTGATGTTCTTGATATTACTGAAGAGTGTTGCGTTCAGTTATTGAAGCCGAAATAACGATTCGGAAGTAGATAAAAGATTTTAGAACGAGTGAAAACATATGGAAAAGCTGCAGTCAAATCTCTTCAGGTTACACTGGACGCATTAATGTCCCATCACAAGAAGTTCAATATATTTGTAGTCCCGTATCTATGTCATGTGTTGCCGTATCTATGCCATGTGTAGCCGTATCTATGGCATATGTTGCCGTATCTATGTCATGTGTTGCCGTATCTATGCCATGTGTGGCATAGCGCCAGGCTTGGGGCATCAGCGGCACCTTGTCTGTGTCTACACTCACCACTCACTTACATCAAAGAATACGTATATTATAAATTGTATTTTTTGGGGCCATGAAAACAAACAAATAAATTACCCACAAATGTATAGTTGTGCAGTTTTCATGATGTTTTACGGTGTTGTTATGCTTTTATATTCTGTACACCTGAAGTTTTACGGGGCTCTGACCCCTCAGAGTTAACAGAGTTAACAATTTGTGGTTTGCCGCTCCAAGTTCCAGCAATTTGACAGTGGGACAGTTTGGT